TGTGTACAACATCAGAAGCTTTGGGAAATCATGAGGAATATGGGCTTTCCACCACATATAGTGCAGCTCATTAAAATGCTCTATCAAGACCAACAAGCAGCAGTCAGAATAGATGGAGAGACATCAGACTGGTTTGGCATCAAGCAAGGAGTCCGTCAGGGATGTGTGCTGTCACCGTATTTGTTCAACCTGTATGCCGAAAATATAATGAGAAATGTAATAGATGATATAAACAAGGAACAATATGATGCCCTAAACATCGGTGGTCATGAAATACCAGAAATTCGTTATGCTGATGATACAGTATTACTATCAACATCACAAAATGGTTTAGAAAACTTATTAACCTCACTCCAAAGAAATAGTGAAAATCATAACTTATTTCTTAACATAGCAAAAACAAAGATAATGCATACAAACAAAACTGCCATGGAGAAGGAAATATATGTTAATGAGGAAAGATTGGAAGTGGTGGAAAATTTCGAATATCTTGGGTCACTGGTTACCAACAATGGTGACACAATGAAAGAAATTAAACGGCGACTATCAATTGCTCTTCAAAGACTAAAACAACTGAATAAATTATGGAATTGTACAGATAGAATTACAAAGGTCAGATTTTTAAGAGCATGCATCTTTCCCATTGCAACATACGCCTGTGAGACCTGGACACTTACTAAACAAGCGGAACAGCGCATAAATGCATTTGAATATAAATGTTACAGACAGGTTCTAAGAATATCTTGGGTAAAGAAAAGAACAAATGCATCCATACTTCAAGAGCTGAATATTGAAGAGGGTTGGCTAGTAAAGACAATAAAACAAAGAAAATTGAAATATTTTGGTCACTTGAAACGTCATGGAAGTCTAGAGAGAACAATAATGGAGGGGTATATGCCTGGGAAGAGAGGAAGAGGAAGGCCAAGGAGAAGATGGGTGCAGGATGTGGCAGATGATCTCCAGATGGGTGTATCAGACGCAGGACATCTTGCTCACGATAGGAAGGTTTTCCGGAGGGTTGTTATGGCAGCGAGGTTCCGCGAGGGACATGCTACTGAATGAATGAATGATTAAATATTATTAGTTCTATCATCACATTTGAATAGTGTTGATTGAATCAGTGTGCCCATATTCTCCTCTTAAGGGCTGTATAAGGGACATTCTTGCAGGACATGTTCTAATACTGGGCGCATTGATGAGCTACTTAGGAGAAGCCTGTGCATATATCATATAATATTAAATTTATTGGCTCTACTGGCACATTTGGCCGGTAAGCTGGACTGCTTCGGCCGGCTTAGCAGGGCTTAGTGGGAGTTATGTCCCTTCGCGTCCCTTCGCCAAACTCAAAACAAGTCGCGGAAAAAGTCACGAATCAAATGACAAACTTACCTATCATCATCCGGGTGCGTGTAGGGTTGGTTTTAGGGTTACCTATCATCATACGGTTGCGCGTAGGGCTGCGTAGGGTGTCTATCATCATCATACGGTTGCGTGTAGGGATGCGTAGGGTGTCTATCATCATCATCATACGGTTGCGTGTAGGGTTGCGTAGGGTTTGGGTTAGCGGTAGGGTTAGGGGTGTGGGTTAGGGGAGGGTTAGGGTTAGATGATGTGAAAATATTCACGTAGGAGGTGGAAATACTGGCCGACAATCTGATACCTGTGGGAGTGGCGCCACTGGAAGTGTGCCAAATATGACGGCAATAGCGCGCGGCGGCTGGTGCCCAATCGGTGGCGAATTGTCCGTGTCAGTAGCATCCACCGTCAGTCGACTGTTTGCGCGTGCATGCGACTGTGCGCGATTGTAGGGAACTACGGCGTCACAATTGTCACATCTAACGCTACACCCTAACCCCTAAACCCTAAACCTAAACCCTAACCCTAACCCCTAACCCTACCCCTCATCTATCTTACGTAAACAACCAACCCTACACGCAATAAGCAGCCCTACACGCAACCGTAGGACGATGATAGACACCCTACGCAACCCTGCACGCACCCGGATGATGATAGGTAAGTATGCCGTTTGATTCGTGACTTTTTCCGCGACTTGTTTTGAGTTGTTTTGAGTTTGGCCAAGGGACATAACTCCCACTAATATATAGATGCCAGCACCCCAATTTTTTACCTCACTGGTTGCTGATCCATCTGTGTAAGCACGTATCCACACTTGTTCAGGAGTTTTCCTTGACCATACTAAGAGCAGCTGATCATTTTTTATGGTCATTGGAATCATCTTCAGCTGTGAGTCCATAGACTGAAGTCATCTGTATTTGTCGCAGAGTAACTCCCAAGGTACAGGGTACAGTGTTGGTATCAGTAATGTTTTGCTCATGGGTAGATCTATTTGACACTGTTATAAACCTTCTTCCATGATGGATAAAGCTGCTACGTTTAAGATGCCTTAATGCCAGGTCATCTAATCTTGCTTTCATTGGGTGTGGCTGCATACTGTTAAAATTCTCCATCTGGATCATAGTTTCTTCTATAGAACACTGTCTGTGTTGCAGTTGTTTCTGTATTTCCAGGATTGATTTAGTTTTCATGGAACCTGTGATATGTCTAATGGCTTGCTTTTGCACTCTGTCTAATGATTGTAGATGGGAATTAGCAGCTGATAGCTGAGCTTTTGCACCAGACTCCCGTAGGATCTTATCACTTCATTACAAACCTTTTTTTAAAAGGGTTTTTACATGCGCTCCTCAACTTGTACCTGCCAGTTTTCTAAGTAACCCTAGCCGCCTTCCCTTCTACATTTTCTACATGTTTGCTCCATGTGAGTCTTTTATCAAATATCACTCCAAGACAAGGGGGCTTTTAGCAAGGATGTTCTTAGGTAAATTCTAGCAGCTTTGTCCCTGGGGAAAGAGAGACAATTGTTGTGGATGTTTTGCGTGTGTTGATGGCAACATGCCACTTTTCTGCCCATGTCATCAAGAGATCTGTTTCTTGCTGCATGGGTTGCATAGGGCTGTGGTTTTTGATCCGCTTTCTGGCCCAGTGTTTCCGACTTCAGGATCACTTGAGAGGGAGAGTTGGCTCACCCCTACACCTTTATCTCATTTGTTGTCCCATTCAGTTTCCTGCTCGGGGTTGAGATCCCACCTTCCACCGGATTGCTGGGAAAAACAGGGTCGACCACGTGAAGGCGAAGTAAGCTTGAGCAAGAGAGACTTATAGTGGCTAAGTCTTGTATTGCATATCATTGCTCCATTAGGACCCTGCTTCACTAGTGATATGTTCCTTTTGTTTTAGTGAATTTTTACTAAGATTTAAATTAAAGTTAATTGCGATGTAAATAAAAATAAAATTACAAGTTTCTTGATCGTTTGTTATTGTATAAATTATAGAATTTGTCATCTGATTGTCCCTGTGTACTGTGCTTGGCTAATGACCTGTTAGTTTCATAGTTTTCCTTTGCAATCTTTTGGTCTAAGAAAGACAGGAAAGTTAATAGTTTCAAGTTTTACACACACAAAAACCCACACACAGCCGAGCTTTTGTTTTTGGCTAGACTATAAAATAATAAATGCATCAAGATCATTGATTAACTGTCAATAGAGTATAAATAACGCTTAAAATCTTTAAATTAAAAAAAAAATGACTATGAATTGAATAAGGAAGATCAAGTAAAGATTATGTCATTATCTTGTCATTATTGTGTGTTAGACATGATATAAAATATAAAAAATCAATGTTGATGAGAATGGGATCCACAGGCTATATCCCAAATAGCGGGATCTTTCTCTACACAACAACCTGCCAAGAATGTCACACAAAACACAAACTCCATAGCTGTAACGATGATTCCCAGCCAGGAATCTTCATTAAAAACTATTTGTGAACAGAACACCACAAGACATGAAATAAACAACCCACAACCTTCAGAGCGCAAGACAAATTTGTCACGGAGGCCTCATGATATGTATTTTCTTCATCTTTGCGTTCAGTTGTGTATGCTCAGATCAGACCATCAGGTGGGTTGCCTCTATAAACTCACATGTCAGTAGCAGGTCCTTCATGGTTCCCCATAGCTTGCTCCACACACTTTGCTCTTGAGGCCAGGTGTCTTATTGAAGTTGTATGTAGAGTGGGCAGGTCTGCAGAATGTGCTCAGGTGTTTGTGGTCCTGTTTGACAGGCACACTGTGGGGACTGTAAAATCTTTATTTTATGAATTTGTTAGTTGAGCCTGCAGTGTCCTGTTTGTAGATGGAAAATTGTTTATGTTGCTTTCTATTGAGTTTGCTGGTGGGGTCTTGTGTATGTTTACTGTTAATTTGTTCTCTCCATAATTCCTTGTATTTTCCCTTGATAAGCGTTCTGATTTCTGGTTATGCCAATGGATGGATGTGTTGTTTCTCCTTTGTTCCATTTTTAGCAAGTATGTCTGCTAACTCATTTCCTGGTATGCCGCAGTGAGCCAGGATCCACTGGAGAACGATCTGATTGTTTTCTGCTAGTCTGTTTAGCTGGCGGGTCAGTTCTCTTTCCATGATGTCTCGTGGATCCCTCTGAGTTGCCTGAAGGACTGACATGCAGTCACAAAGGAAAACAATTTTGCTGTTTTTTTCTTTCATGATATTTATAACTTATGTCACATCTCACATCAGTGTGTGTATTTACCACTTTTTGCGGTGTAAAAGTAGAGGGAGGGGTAGGTATTTGAGCTTGAAGATTTACGGCCACATGGCTTGAGCAGGTTAGGGTTTTATTTTTGCTCCTGACAGAAACACCTATAATCTTACCTAGTGTTCAAACCCGGGTCTCCCACATGAGAGCTAGAGTTCTTATCATTCATTCTACCATTCCTTAATTTATTTATTACAAAAACATTAATAATTTATTTACATTTGTATGATAAAAATGTTAATTATATTATGTTTGTAAATTGCAGTGTTCTCAGTAAAGACTGGAACTAAAAGCATGAAAGTATTTCGTAATAGAATTCGAAGAAAAGATTTTGCAAGACACTGAAGTTTATGTGCTAATTGCTACAAGATGGTGTTTGAAAAACTGCGTTCAGCAGGGGCTTTGCTTTGGAGAATATTTGTCATGATTCTGCATGACGTGTTCCGAAAGATTGTGCCGGCACCAAAGAAGAATATTTCTAGTGACATTATTTTAATCACCGGTGGAGGTAGGGGAATCGGGAGACGGCTTGCTCTTCACTTTGCTAAATTCCACCCCAAACATGTGAGTAAATTGTGTGTGTACATATTTTTATATTGAATTACTTATCTGTGCATTCATGTATTGCAAAGATATTCCTGAATACAAGATCATTAATGTGTTTATAACATATAAATATACAAGAATATTCTTTTTATCGCAAGAATATTCTGTGTATTGCAAGAATATTATATGAATCACAAGAATAGTTATGTATAGCAAGAATATTCATCTATTGCATGTTGTACTGCAAGAACATTCCATGTATCTTTAAAAAAATTCAAGTATTGGAAAAAACATTCTCGTATCACAAGGACATTCTTTTATCACAAGCACATTCATGTATTACAATAATTACAGTAATGGACTGTATCATGTAGGAAAGCAAAAAGAACAGAAGTAGAAAGGAGAGGACATGATGAGTTGAGACTGTGCCTTGACACCACTAGTAGAAACTAGTAGATGCAATTCCTTGAAGAAAAACAGGTGCAGAAGCTAAATTACGAGAGGTCACTGGGGCGTAGAAGAGACACTAATTTAGTAGCGAGCGGCATGAAGACTGAAATGCTAGAACCTTAATTTAGGAGCCAGCACTTAAGAGAAGCATGTGGGGAAAGTAATCGCAGAGGTAGTGGGCAAACACTGGCCAGTGAAGGAGACAGATGATGCGTATAAAAATTACCTGGTTCGTGACTAGAAGCACAGGCCAGAAGACAAGTGTGCTGACATTGTAGATGAAATAGGGAGATTAATAAGAACATTTACAGAGGTTAGAATGTCCTGTTTAACAGGAGACATGGAGGTAACAAAGGTACTTTAAGAAGACAGAATATAACAGAGAATGAGGAGCAACAGAGAAAAAAAGACAGGTTTAATGCCGACAGAGGAACACTTGGTCATACTGAGGAATGGGACCAGTCCAATGTCAGGCATGTTTTAGCCTAATGTTTTAATTTAGAAAAAATACAATTTATTTCATCCCATACAGTTCATCTACAGTTTTGCTGAAACATTCGTCTCAGAATAGAAGGTGATTGTTAGACTTGCTAGTAACAGCTGCATGTGGATCCAAAAAAAAAAAAACCTCACACAAGTTCTTGAGAAGAAAAATCTTGGTACTTTGTTTTAGAACAGCTTATAAATATTCATTAGAGTCAAGAGCCAAAAGTATGCTAAAATAAGAGCTCATCTTGATTGTTAATGTGTAATTAAGTCATTTTTATTCTTGAACAAGAATTTTTTTTTTACATTAAACAATTTTAACGTTATCTGACTTGTTTAGATCACTGGTCATAATGTTTTAATACAGTAGATAGACATACAGTGGTCATCTTATCACCTTTGTCATTGGGGCATGCTTGAAGAGACTTGGGTAACATGAAAGCCCTGATGTCTCTGCATATATCCTGAGAAGTAAAGGTGGCTAGCATGATTTTGACCACATTTTCTGCAGGGGCAGATTACTCTCTACAAATTTGCCGCCAACAACACACGGGAAGCCTTGGGCCCAGAGATCATGGGTTCAAATCCACATTGAGCCAATTTTTTTTTCAAAAATGACCTTGACTCTCCAGTTGACCCAGTCGACAATGGGTACTAGGTAGGGTCCTGGGAATTATTGTTGACCACATCACTCATAGAGTGCAGATTGGTCTATAAAATACAAGTCTAGCACTATATACCCAGTACATTTATGTGCATGGAGCAGTCTCTTTTACTTAACTTTGGCAACATATGTTGAATGTTAAATTAAGAATCGACATCACAGCACTCGGGACATTCCAATAAGTGCTCCGTCCCCATCTTCAGCAGCAAGCGAAGAGTTCCAGTTCTCACGGCACCAGTAACGGTCTGATTGTATATCCAACTCATCCTTCCCCTGAATGTTGAGCGTCGGCAGATCCCCTGGTAACTCCTCGCTGAGCATGATACCCTGTATGGGTAAAGAATGGGCCAGCTGCTTCCCTAACAAGTATGTCAAATCAAGTGACAGATTTAAAGTTTGCTTAAGTCAAATGTCTTGAACTGAAAAGCGCAAATATCACAGCCTAGCTGTAAACCACACCAAAACATGTCAGCCACCCTTTTAAGAGGGAATGTTGAAGAATAAGCTATGCCCAGGACGTCTCCAGGCGTGCAAGTAAGATCTTTTCATTCACTTTAAAAAAAAAAGAAAACATAATATACTGTCACTACAATCTGTATGTGCCACTTTTTAGAATAGTGTTGACATTGGGGGAGGGAGGAAGGGGGGGGGGGTGAGCCTAAGGATTTAGGGCCATATGGCTAGTGCTGTCACCACAGACTGTGCCGGTTCGGTTTCATTAACATGAATGCTATAAAACAACATAGATCATAGATTCCTGGCTTCTATGCAGATTATCTTATGGGGGCGGACACAAAAAACTCTTGCTCAGACTGCCAGGGATGTACAAGATGAGGGTGTCAACTGTGCGTACATGGTGTGTGATGTCAGTGCCAGGGAGCAGGTCTATTCTTTGGTAAGTACTTCAAACAATTTATAATCATGAGCTGAGGTTACATGACGCGGTTTCTTCAAGTCTTTTATACAGTACACCTGATGTTTTTTTCTTTTTGTTAGTCTATGACTGTTCCATCTATCTGCATGGCAGCATGCTTGAGTCTTTTAATCGAATCCCTTCTCAGTGTGGCTTTCGGGGCTCCAATTTAAGGGAAAAGGGGTGGGGGGAGGATAGAAACACAAGCAAACACGTTGTACAAGGCGCTAATTAGGGATTTGCTGAAACTAGATGTGTTAGATATCGCATCCTTGCTGCAAACCATAACAGAACCGACCAACTGTTTTTTAAGGGTGAATCCAAAAGATCCTATTCCCTTGACCTGTTTGACATGGAAAACACTAACAGAAGCTATGTCACTGTTGGCGTAGCTTACCCAGTCAACAAATGCAAGAATCTAGATGTGTTGGCCCCCTGTGTGGATTCCGAGACCTCATTGTCGGGGGGGTGGTGGTGGGGGGGGGGGGGTATGCACTGCCAAGGAGAGTTTCTTCAATGTCGGAGTACATCTGCCTGAGATGTGAGGAACCGACAGTCTGCATACAAATAAGCCAGGTCTGTAAAATGGATCTAAAACTAAAACTCAGGTTCTGGAACAAGACCAGAGTCAAGAAGTGGGGTAAAAAACAGAGCTTTCTGAGAGTTTAAAATGCTAAGGAGGAGGAGGAGGTGGTGGTTTGGACCCCCCCCCCCCCCCACCTTTTTTTCCCCCCACCAACCTAGAAGTTTAAATAAACAGATATATATTCCCCCGTGTGGGTTCCAGGGCCCCATTGTAGGGGAAAACAAGAATAGACCCACTGCCTCCCCAAAAGCATGTCGTAAGAGTCGACTGGAATTGGGGAGCTTCCTTTGAAGTCGGAGGGCATCTGCCGGAGAGGCAAGGAACCAACAGTCTATATTCAAGAGAATGAGATCTGTAAAACTGATGCACATGCAACACTCAGGTTCTGGAGCAGGACTGCAGTTCGGTAGTGGACATGCAACCAGAACTTCCCGCCAGAGTGTACAGCTGGTGAACGCGAAGAAGAAGAAGAAGAAGAAGAATACAGATATACTGTAAACAGGAACAACATAGTACATCCAGCAGTGTGAAATATAATGAAACATTTTTTCAGCCAGATTCATTACAGTGGCCCTTAAAAAAATAAAAATTTGAAGGCATGGTCCTTGGGATAAGAAGCAGGTGAGAGCAGACAAGTAGTTGCTTAAAATATATTAGAGACACATTGGACAGGAAAATATGTATAAGGCTAGGATGTGGAAAGTCAGTTCTTTGGAATGATAATGTTGCTACATAGGATGTTCAAGCTATTCCACCTTGGTACGAGACCTGCTTTGTCCCATTGATTCAGGTGAAGCTGACAAAAAAAAAAAAAGACAAGACTTCATGGTGGACAATTGAAATCTTGACAGAACACATTCTTTCTTCTGCCTGTCTGTTTTATTTGACATTACACTCTGTACATATATTTTTAATCTATCTATACATCAGCCATGGATAAGACAAGACTTCCCCATCAAGCCTTCATGTAAACAACAAAAGGGAACAAGAAAATGGGGAATACCAAGAGAGACTCTGCTTAGAAGCATCATCAGGAAAGGCTCAACCATGGGCCTAATGAACATCCTAGACCTAAAACAGGTAGCAAGGAACTGCCAGACATGGAGAGCTATCGCCTCTGCCCGGTGTGCCGCCCTAGGCTAAAAAGGAAAGGCTAACTAACACTCTGTACACTGCTTTTTATGCAGCCATCTTCAACGGTCATCTTGGGTTGGCTGTCAGATGTTCAAGTCTCAACCCAGTAACCAACTATGCAGCACTCTGCTTACAAAGTAAATCATTCTTAAAAAACGACATACCCCCTAACTCAGCACAACCTCCATGTGGCAATTCATTCATTCATTCAGTAGCATGTCCCTCGCGGAACCTCGCTGCCATAACAACCCTCCGGAAAACCTTCCTATCATGAGCAAGATGTCCTGCGTCTGATACACCCATCTGGAGATCATCTGCCACATCCTGCACCCATCTTCTCCTTGGCCTTCCTCTTCCTCTCTTCCCAGGCATATACCCCTCCATTATTGTTCTCTCTAGACTTCCATGACGTTTCAAGTGACCAAAATATTTCAATTTTCCGTGTTTTATTGTCTTTACTAGCCAACCCTCTTCAATATTCAGCTCTTGAAGTATGGATGCATTTGTTCTTTTCTTTACCCAAGATATTCTTAGAACCTGTCTGTAACATTTATATTCAAATGCATTTATGCGCTGTTCCGCTAGTTTAGTAAGTGTCCAGGTCTCACATGTCGCAATTACTCACTGTAAATATACACAGCCAGGTTCATGTTGCCAAAACTAGTCACTCACTAGACTCATTCTTTACATAGAAATGGGTATTGAATGAGGACAGGCATGCAGAAACCAGTTGCGAGGCAAAGAAAGAAGATATGCCAGTAAACTCCAGTGGAGAGTTTGTGTTGTTCGTCCACTTTTGTACTGCAGTCCTGTTCCAGGACCAAAGTGTTGCATGTGCATCCATTTTACAGTTCTGACTCATGTGTATGCAGACTATTGGTTCCTTGCCTCTTAGGCAGATGCACTCCAACTTCGAAGAAAACTCCCAATTAGTCGACTCTTACTACATGCTTTTGGGGAGGTAGTGGGTCTGTTCTTGTTTTCTCCCAAAATAGAGCCCTGGAACCCACATGGAGAACCAAGAGAGGTTGATTAAAAACAGATAAATAATATGGAGAGGTCATAGAGAAATCTGCAAATGATGGCATGAGTTGGTTGAGATTTCAAAAGGGATGGGGAAAGAAAAAGAAGGCAATCTGTCTGTGCAGCATCTTTGACAGTAATTCATCTATAATTTGTACTGACAGACGGCCATTACTACTGACACGTTGGCCCTATCTCAGATTTTGATATCACCATTTTGCCTTTAGGCATCGTGGAAAAGAACAATTTGCAGTCCATTGCACGATATCGAGCCTGCATCTACTGTATTGTTCTGTGTATAACACGACCCTTATTTTTAAAGCCAGGAAATAATTTATTAAAAACACTATGTTTATAAGACGACGCCAAAATGTATGAACTAAAAAAAAAAAAATGTGATAACATCATGTACATGAAAAAGTACAGTATTTGGTGATGTTGACCTGCAAGCTTTCCTCCCTACCTAGTACCAAAGCACTATTACACCTGCAGTGATACTAAATATAGGATTAATGTAAGGGGTTTGATTGGTTGTTAGAATCAGGAAAACCCCTGAGACATAAAGTCAGCATGAGTGTGTGAGTGGACTTGGGAACATGGGAAAGCTGGGGGAATAGCCGAACAGAGATTCATTTTGTGACAGGGCCCCAGAGCTGAAAGGAGTGAAAGCTGATTGTCTGAAGTAAAAGCTGATCATCTGCATTGAAAACTACGCTGAATGAAGGCTGAGAGAAAGACAATACTGATGTGTCCGACTGAGTGCTGATTGTGGTCAGTCATGTACATGTCAGCGAGGGACGTTAAAGATTTAGCCATGTGATCCAAAGTGCGGACAAGTGGAACCTGGATGTGTGAAGTAAGTATCATGATGTAGATTGTCGCTAGGCTGTTTATTAGACCGGAGGACAGGCTGTCAAAGCTGAGGTGTTTTGATCAATAAACAGCCCAGAAACTTATAGAGTCTAAAAGCTAGTACTGCAACTTTACATCTGCAGATAATTGTGTGAAGATGTGACTAGGTAACCAACCATCTTAGACATTTACCCTTCTGTCTACTATTATTGTTGCTGGGTATATAATTGAGGTATTCTCCTTTTTCATTTTCTTTTCTGCAACTTAAGGTATCAAGGGAGATATGCTGTGCTGATTGTCACTCGTCTGTCAGCCTCAACCATAAACCCTTGGTGCTGTTGTAGAGTTCCTCTGATGTTTTCTAGGTCTGCCTAAGGTTCTGTGTCTCTCTCCTCTTTTGATGTATGCCTTGTCTGGTATGGCATCACCGGGCATTCTGTAAGTGGGCAGACCATTTGATTTTCTCTTTCTCTATATGTAATTTACAATTAGTTCTGTACCAACTTTTTTTTTAAATGACCTCATTTGATTTCTTCTGTCACTCCTGCAGCTGCCCTTCTCATGCATCTCATTTGCATGGTTACTAATTATAATTATACTGAAAATACTAATTATAGGGGTAGACCATTTTATTTTCTGTCTTTACATATGATTGAGTTAGTTTAACAAAACTACATTCTGCAGACAACCAGAGCTTTCCTGCCAGACATGATAGCACACAACAAGGGCCATATTGTTGCTGTGGGTTCGGTGCTAGGCTTGATGGGATTAAATGGTGCTGCTGATTACTGTGGTTCAAAGTTTGCCACGGATGGTTTTATGGGTAAGTTATCTCTTCCTACACCTCTGTGAATAAACAACCAGAAATTTCCGCATAGCTTTACAGCTGGTGACAGTGCAGATGTGGTCAACGTCCACTAGCTTTGGGAACCGACCAGATCATTCATCTGGTGCTGATTGCCCCATAACAAGCAGATATTCATCATACGGAAATCAGTAGAAAAAATTGATACATGATGTGTCAACTCCCTGACAAGCAACGGAGAGATTATATGAGGGAGAGAATGAGGCACTTGGGTGTAACCAGAGGGTCTGGCCGGCTCACTACACTCAGAGGAAAGGCAAGACGGACAAATAACCAGATTGTGACCTGTAACATCAGTACTGGAACTCTCCGCTGGCTGCTGAAGATGAGGACAGAGCATACATGGGAATGCCCCGATTGCTGTGATGTCAATTCTTGACCCAACTCAAATCAACTCTGATTACCAAGAAGTATTCTGTGGGGTAAAAGCAGTTATCAAAATACCGACCTGATCATTCATTCGGTGTTGATTGCCCTATAATAATTTGAGGCTTACACCATGTACCTTATTTTAAAACAAACTATGTACTGCTTGTATTTGCCACTTCTAGAGCTGTGTAGATCAGGATGTCTTGAAAGATTTTTACTCCTAAAGAGAACTGGATGCCTGTGTCAGAGGAAGACAATCTACATTCTTTGGTCATGTCAGGAGAGGGAGAAATCTGGAGTACCTCATGATGATGGGAAAGCTGGAAAGGAAAAGAGGCAGTGGGAGACCGAGAGAAGATGCCGGACAGTTTGATATCATGACATGGAAGATCATCTGTGTCAGAATTGCTTGAAAGTACACAAGGTAGAAGATTGTGGATAGATATGAGTACCAATGCCACACAGCATGGTCTGTAAGAAGAAGAAGAACAGTGTAGGGCAGGACGTTTGTTTTTGGACCTGACAGAAAAAATATCCCGATCCCTTACAGAGTCTTTTTGCATGAGAGCTCAGTTTCCTAACCACTCAGCCAGCTGCTGCACTTTTTATTAACCAACCTCATCCTCTATCCGCCATCTGCCCTGTGACATCTTTTCATAGTGCAGTAACAAAAGAAAAAACATTTTTATCACACCTTTCAGCTTTACCAGCCTGAAGTCATCATTTATATTTTCTACAGATGCTTTACGGGATGAGCTGAAATCAGAGGGTGTATCCGGAGTGACAGCAACCACAATATATCCATACCATGTGGATAACGACATGTTTGCCGGAGCCGCCACAAGGTAACATGCAGTCAGATACACCTTGCCTTTTTTTGTGGACGACTGGGGTTATGATGGCAAAGGTGGTTATGCTGTTGAACTAAGGCCATAAAAGTTTTGAATTCAGTTGCAGAATCTGACATTTGGGTGGTTTGGAAATTCCTGAAGGGCCGTTATGGGAGCTGTGGAGTTCATTCTTTGTGTGACACCTCTCATTGGATGAAAGGCCACTCTGAGAGAAAAGGTTGTATGATATACAACCTCGTGCAGTGAGGCCAATTTTTAGAAGAACTTACAGTAGGGCTTGGCTTGTGTGGTTGTAAGTGTTTGATTTCTAACATCATGTTCGTTGCTGTTGACTGATCAGCTGTCTCACCTCTTTTGGTCCGATGCATCATCATCATCATATAGCAGGTCCTTTACAAAATGTCGCTCTCATCACAGTCTGCCTGAAAGAAACTCGGTCTCTCGCCAGCTCTCCTGCCTCATGTACTTTCATACTCAAGGAGTCACTTATATCTTGTGCCCATCTTCGTGTTGGTCGGCCCCTGCCCCTCCTTCCTGGTACCATGTCTTCTGCTATCATTTTTTCCAGTCCGTCGTGACGGTTGATATGACCAAAATATTTCATCTTCCGAGACAGGATGCTGTTAATTAGCCAATCTGCCTTGATGTTTATATCTTTCAAGATGTCAGTATTTCTCCTCTTCTTTATCCAATATATTCTGAGAATCTTTCTATAGCATTTCAGCTCAAAAGCCACTATTCTCTTTCTTAACTCTTTGAGTCCCAGGGGTTTTAGCATCACAGGCCCAGTGGGTAATAAAGAAAGTAATAAAATCGGCGCATCTTGCGTTCATTGGGCTTCTAGGTAGGAACCTATGAACATATGATGCGTTCCTTGGGACAAAGAGTTAAGGACTGGGAGAAAAGTCCACGACTCACATCCATACGTTGCTACAGGGAAGATGCATGCTCTCAAAATTCTGATTTTGATCTCTTTGCTGGTGCTTAACCCATAGACTATTTAGGCTGTTTAATCTTTGCATGGTCATATGCAGTGGACTTCATATTTGCAAGTTTGAAGCCTGTCCATTCATCCGAACTCTATATCCAGGTTTTTACTGGGTCTGCATTTTTGCCTCTTTTCCTCTGCGGAGCCTTTTATATCATTTTGAATAGGCTGGTGTATCTTGTGTGTCCTTACCATTGCAATTTCTGTCGTTTCACTATTTAAAGCGGTTCGTAGTTGCCAGTATGTTGCCTGACAATACTGGGAACTTTGTTGTTTGTGACAAATATACCCAGGATCTTTAGAAAAGTTTCTCTTTTCCAAAGCTTATATTGTCCTTCAAGTTCATATGTTAAAGTCCACATTTTACAGCTGTATATAAAAGTACTACTCTAAGCAATCATGATTTTCAAAGTGAACAGCATTAAAAGCCATATATGTCTAATACATTTGAAGGCATGGATAGGGTCTTCTGCACTAGCCACGCAGCCCTAATTCCTAACGTCCAAAGGCGCCCCCTTTCTAGCAAAAATTGTAAATACGTGCAGTAATGTGATAGTTACTGGTGCCATCGGAACTGGAACTCTTTGTCTGCTGCTGAAGATGGGGATGGAGTGCCTATGGGAGTGTCCCGAGTGCTATGATATTGACTCCTAATTGAACACTCAACAGTTATGTAATAGTTTTTTTTTTTTTTTGCAGTACCAAATGTCCAGAAGTTGTCTGTTCTTCTGTGATCATATGTTTGATGACTGAAATGACTTTCTTTTCCCTAGGTTTCCAAAGCTTTTTCCAGCCATAAATGAAGACTACCTGTCGCAGAAAATTGTCGATGCTGTTTTGAGTGGCAGAGAGAGAATGATTGTGCCAAAACTCCTGTACCTATCGGCTTTATTTTACAGGTGGGTAGTACAGATTCTTTGAAGCTTTATTTTTTTTCAATATAGTGCATATTGTGAGTGATAATGACCTATGTTTGTTTGTTGTTTTGTTCAATTTTATTTCTTCTAGCCTTAAAAGTTGGTTGGCATATTGTGTTGTGGTTTACAGCTAGGCTTCAAAATCTGTGCGGCCGGCGTGATGCTGACCACATCACCCATCTTGTGCCAATTGATTTATACAAATATAGGTCTAGCTCTAAATGCCCTATACGCTTAAAGGCATGGGAAAGGGTCCTTTACTTACTTTACTTTCAAAATCTACCTTTTGGCCCAATCAATCCTATTTATGCAAAACTTTAATTAGTTACCTTTTCTGACATGCTTCATTTGGGGTGCACCCTAAAAAACAAAGAATTAATAAATTACAAATTGTCCCACCTCTTCAGTGGATGTTGTCTGTAACTGATGTCTTTGCTATTTTTATGTGGCAAGCACACCCCCCCCCCCCCCCCTTTCGTTTTTCCCTTTCCATGATATGATTCTCGTACCATTGTGTGAAAAAAAAAATTAGAACAGCTTTTTCTTTACAAATCTCTGTAGAAATAAAATTCTAGTTTGTCAAAGATTGTAACATTTCTTCACTAACCTCAAAGTTCCATGGTTTTTTCTCAGACATATGGTGTCACAATCCTTAAATTAACTCAGGACAGGTGGATTAGTTATAAACAAGTGCAAGATGCATTCTTTCATACCAAAAGAGTTCAAATTCTGTAGACAGCCAAAATAAATAAATTATCCTAGTGTTTTTCTTTTTAAAGAGGCTAAGTCATGAAGATGACTTATGAAAAACTTTGGAAGAAATAAAAAAATAAAAAGAGGTCATAATTTTTGGCCATATTATATGAAAAGAAAATTGGAATATATTAACTCTGAAAAAAAAAAATAACGGAGGGAGGGAAAGAAAGTGAAAGAAAATTGGGATCATTTCCCTTTTCTTCGGCTTTCAGCCTTAAAGGAGCAGTTGGCATGTTGTGGTTTACAGTTAAATAGTGATATCTGCAATTTTTGACCCAGTACATCTGATTTCTACAAACTCGTAACTAGTTGTCTTTGTGGCATACTTATTAGGGGGCAGAGGGTCTATCCCCCCCCCCCCCCCACACACATACACAGTTGGGGTCCTGGAACCCACAGAGGGAGGTCAAGATATTAATATTATGTTTTGTTTGTCTGTTGATAAAATTGTTTCTCTGTGTTTTCAGGATTGTTTCTGTACCAGCTATTATTTCTTCTTCTGCTTCAGCATTCTAAGCCGTTGATGAACACTGCTACAAATCTCACCCACTTCCATTCATTTCTGACTGCATTCTTTATCTTCCTAGTGTTCATTTGCACTAAACTCCTGTGGAAAATTCTGGTTGTTCATCCACTCCTGGACTTAGTCTTGATCGTCTTCTTTTTCTTCACAGGCTGTGGAAAGTTCTGGTCATTTATCCAGTTCTGGACTTTGGTCCTGTTCCAGAACTTGAGTTGTGCATGCACATATGTTTTACAGATCTGGCTTTTTTGTTTGCAGATCTTTGGTTCCTTACCTATCAGGAAGATGTACTCTGAAGGAAACACCCCTAATTGTCACTTCCTATGACGTGCTTGCGTGGACTTTTATCATGGTATGGGAAAGTAAAGATGGCAGGCCTAATGCTGACCACATTAACCACCTAGTGCAGACTGGTCTGAAAAATATGGGTGCTCTTCCCAAAAGCCTGATGCGCCTAAAGACGTGAAAAGGGATGTTTACTTTTTTTACTTCTTACGTGCTTGCCATGGCAAGGTGGAGAAATGTTTGGAGAAGACCATCTGTTACTGCAATCGTTATATTTATTACATACTTTGTGCCTTAAGTAATGTTCCATTTTTGTAAACATGTGTGTTTCTCTCATTCTGCAGAATCGCTCCAGTACCAGCAATTACTGCAGTCATGAAATTTATTGGCGGACACCAAGTTATAGAGAATATGAAAGAACGTGGGCACAGTAATACTTGTCGTGGCTGACATTTTTCAAGGATGGACATTTTTACTTTTCACAATGAAAAAAGAAAACCATTTTCAGGGATATTTGTGTATGTCCTGACCTTGGCTGTTAGATTACTGCTTCAGTTACACTTAATTTACTCTTGATTCCACTGAAGGGTTAGTTGAAAACTGTATTTCTCACACTTTATACTGACTTGTTTATTCCACCTTTTATCCTACTTTGGAACAAAGGCATTTAATTAAACATTTTGCCCCAAGAAGTCACAGAATCGACACTTGGAGTCAGTACCATTTCCCCATAAAAACTGCTTTTCCAGCTATTAATATAGATGTGTTTACAATGTGTCCACTAAAATAATTCATTACATCTGCGTCTGCACAAATATTCAGTGCAATAGGAGGTGACCAAAGTTGCTGGGGGGAGGTGGGCTATGAAAAAAAAATGACTTAAAAAAATTTCTCTATTGTATTTTTTCCTCTGGGTACAGTGGTTATCAAATGACCGGGTTACAGGGTCATTGTAAGTGTCATGCTGTAATTAGTTTACAGGCCCCAAGAGATGAAAGCCAGGAGATTCTATGTTCCATTTATCATATTTAATAATTAATCTTCTTGCTCTGTTTGGTATTTCTTGATGTTCTGGATGATACATTGATTTTGTGTGAGATTTTTTTTTGCCATTTGTAAAATGATTGTTTTTCTAAAGATTTTAGTTTTCAGGAATTTCCTAAAAATGGAAAGTACTGGAGCTTGGCTTTGCCTCCTATAAGTCGCCAGGGAGAAGATTTTAACACTGCTCCATTATCATAAAAAATATTGGAAAACATGACAATCATAAAATTGTTTCGTCGTGCCTATGGCTCAGTACACACAGTTGTGTGTGTGTCATTTTTGTCTAATTTCTGTCAGACATAGGAAACCCTACCAGTAGCAGTACTAGCATCAATATAGAATTTCATGTGTCCCATGGTTGAAAAATGGCTAAGGACCTTTGCTGCATTGGGAGATTACCCAACCCATTCACTTTGTGAATGCTAAGAAAGTGGATCATGAACCCAGGGGAACTTCCTTAAAAACACAACTGTTTTACACAGATAACTAATAATTTGTTTGCAAAATTTAATTAATTTATTTGCATTTAGTAAATCTTCGTTAAAAATGTATAAAGGAAAAGGAGTCACCACACAAGCCCCTCTACCACACGAAGATGATGGATGTCATATGAGAACCTTGTCCTCATATTATGTACCCTAACTTCCACATTAGTGATTCTAGCATTCCATCAGATGTCTTCTCTTCTGTTTGTAGTTTTGTTTGTTTATTTGTTAAAGTAATTGTTTGAGTTATTCTCTGTTTTTTTTATTCATATGCAAGAACCGATTTAACATTCGGTTTTCTAATATTTTAAGTCTCTTTTACTTCAACAGACATTACTAATGTTATCCAAGTTCCTTCTGTATATTTACCTACATATTTATGACTAAATCCTTCCCCCAACTTGGGCAACATTGCTACTTAAGAATATGACTTTCTGTTTTAATGTGTGGTTTCACAAAGGGATATTAAGCGATTATTAGACAAAACTTATATTTGTATTGTGAGAAATGTGAACCTGTGGCAGTTCTGGAATACTATGCATTAAAAAATACTTCAACAGGTATGTTTTCTCTTATATATATATATATATATATATATATATATATATATATATATATATATATATATATATATATATATATATATATATATATATATATATATATATATATATATATATATCTTCCTTATTTCTTTTCCTTACTCCTGGAATGGACCCTTTCTGTTTGCTTCCTTTATAGTACTTTATATATATATATATATAAATTTGTGTGTGTTTTGCAGGGTGAATAATATTCTATGCAATCAGTCTTTGTCAGTTTAGATGAGTTCTCAAAATCTGCTGAGAACCAGTCCTGATATACAAAAGTGAAAATCGTGAACGGTCAGCAGTTAGTGAAAAATGGTGCTTAGATGACATAGCTGTATTTAGTGATTCCTGTAATGTCATGGTGCTCAGATGACATAGCTGTATTCAGTGATTCTTGTAATGCCATGGTGCTCAGATGACATAGCTGTGTTCAGTGATTCCTGTTATGCCATGGTGCTCAGATGACATAGCTGTGTTCAGTGATTCCTGTAATGCCATGGTGCTCAGATGACATAGCTGTGTTCAGTGATTTCTGCTGATTTTAAGTATTGTTTCTATTTTTGTTTAGCACTCAACAAAATATATTACTGCTTGGATATACAAATATTACTTTGAGCCTGTTCTGCTAAAAGGACCTTTTCCACACCACTATTGTGACCCATATGTTTATAGAATCTGTTGGCACCTGATGGATGTGTGGTTGGGGTCAGTATGCCATTACTTCCCAGGACATTTTCCCAGTCCCATTTTTGGCTGGAAATCAGGATAGTTTTAATATAAATCCATGATGGTGTTGATGAAACCAAATACCTTATGGCTGCTGTGCAAGCATATATCTAGTGTGGCTGCCCTGTTTTGCTATGTGACACTGAATCTTTGAATGTTATTACTGCCCCTGTTGCTACTTTTTAAAGTAGTATGTGACAGGGAAGGCGGCCCATTTTATTCAGCTATAAATTTTTACTGTTTATCTGTTCAAGCAAGGATTATTTACAGTGTGTCAAGAAGCAGGAAAAAAACGTTATTTTTTGTAAAAATGCAGGGGATTGAACACTATGACCACCAAGCAGACAGGCAAGTCTGTAGCTATTGCATCAACATGTCCGTCAAGTGACTGATAAATTTATTTTTGAAAATTTTGCCACCCAAAAATCTAAACCTTTTGTGCCAAGGGACGTAATTGCTAAATACAAATGAAGTAAAGAATTCACTGCTTTTACTTCCTTTGACCATGAAAACGGGTTTTGTTGGTACAGCCACAGAACCAAGTGATGTCATAAGTTTATTTGTTATGCCATCATGGTGACAAAATTTGATTTATTCTCCACTCCAAGTCATATCTTTAAAATAAAAAAAAAAATTATTAAATCTTTAATAATTATCATATCCAGCATGTCTACACATCCTGCAGTTGCGGCCAGTACCACGTGTGATATATAGAGGATTTAGTGGCCACTATCATTAAAAACCCAAAAACAGCAGCTTTCACAGGGGTAAAAAGGTTAAGGCTGTATAGCTAGAGGAGTTACCACAGACTCCAGGTTGGGATTTACATTTTTTGCAGAGCAAACTTTTAATTGCAGAAATGGTACACGATGAAAGGTTAGTTGCGAATCCTTTACAGGACTTTGCAGAACCAACCCCAGCAGCCCCTGGCTATTGTGTGGTTTCTCTAGGCAAATTTACGTCCAGTAGTTTGCCATTGCTTTCTGGACGGTTGGCTTCTTGATACCACTGTCGAAACCAACGCAAGGCGCATGGCCTGCAGCTGGGATCGAACGCAGCATCCCATCATTACAAAGCGTTTGCATCAACTTAGCCACAGAGCCGACTTACACAATGATAATGATTTTAAAACGGAGGTGTTTTTAAAAAAACTAGGGTAACGTAGCCACTCCTGCATCAACATACTGTTTTTTTTTTTTTTTTGCTTTTATGGTCGCTAGCAAGAGACACTTGCCAAAATATATCACTGATACTGGTGGGTGTGACTTGAGTAATGTTATTTTAAAAACGTTTTTCACTTTAAAATTAAAAAGTCAGGGCACAAACAATGTATGTAGCAAAATTTACCAGGCAATAAATTGTGCAGTGTATTGTTTGCATCCTCATTTTTTTTTTGTAAATACATTTTTTATTTGTCATTGTGTGTTGCCAAAGTATAATTCAATTATTTTAGTGGGCGGGCACTGAGAAGATTCGTATGTGATATACAAATGAACAGATTATCATAAGATGTATATATGTAGTATTGTAAGCATTCTGTGTGATACGAGAATAAACAGAGTATTTAGAATGTTTCATTGTCTGTGTGACATCTTGTTGGTTTGATGTTGTTAGCATATGTTGTTGTTCTTGTTCGCCTATCACCAGCGATGACTGTTTGTCCTTTCATTCATTAAGTAGATTGACATTTCTTGTCTTTCTGTGTTTACGTTCATCTTATACTTCATGCTGTGTGCCGTTGGTAGTCATGTCTGTGCAGAACCCTCTGCCTCATGTACTTTAAGTTAACTCTGACACAGATGATCCTCCATGCCCAGATGTCAAACAGTCCAGCATCTTTTTTTTTCCTCAGTCTCCCTCTGCCTCTTCTCTTCTTCAACTTTCCTACTGTCATGATATACTTCAGTTTTCTTTTTTTTATCACATGACCAAAGAATGTAGATTGTCTCTTTCTAATGTGGGCAATCAGTTCTCTCCATAGTTTCTTTCAAGACATGCTCATTACTCTTTTTATCTGTCTAGGGTATTCTCATTATCCGTCTATAAAACCACATCACTGCAGCTTCCAAATAATTTGTCACTAACTGTCCATGATTCACTTTTCTATATCAAGATATGATTTACATTTTAAGAATTCCCTTTCTTGTCTCAATTGACAAAGAAAGACTGCATAAAATATTTATTTTGTAAAATGCTACCCTTTGTGATCACCCTTAAAAGAGTGGATAGTGCTAACACACACAAAACAGTGCTGGTACCATCAGAAAAAAGGCCTGCGGATTAGGGAAGGAAATAAAGCAAAATCAGTATATTAGTGAGAAGTTATGTACAAGCACTTTTAGTTGTACAGAAGAATGACGAAACAACAGTGGGCACATGGAAACGTTATGATGTCTTTAGAGGAATTAACCCATAAAGAAACATTACTTTCATAAGAAGACAGTCCGTATTGTTTGTGAGAAGTGGAAAATCTGTTGTCAGGTCTGTATTAACAGCATTCAGGGCCACTGGGGAGAACCAGCTTGCTTGGGTCCTTATGACAACCACTTACCAGAATGAAATCTAAATGGTCAATCATATTAAACCTATATTTATTTTACTGGCACTTGAACAAACCTATGTTATAACATAAACACAGATTAGGTGGCACAGAATGAAATTAATAGGAACAAACATATTTTAGTTTCCCGGCCCATCTACACACTGGTTAAGCTTTCATTCATGCTTGCTCAGGCTGGCCTATATCAGAGTGGTGTCACTGTCTCCAGAGGTATTATTGGCAAATGATCTTACATCTAGAACTGGCCCTAACCCAACCCCCCTCCCTTACCCACAGTCCCAAAAGAGAGTCCAGAGTGCATACCATGGTTTCAGAATCGTTAACATTTTCCCCTCCTCCCTAAAAAGCCGTTTTGCTCCAGAAAAGCACCTCTCTCCTCCTGGTCGCTCATCAACGCTGACAGCTGACCTAAATTTATGCCGTACACGTAATGTGCGCAATTTTTCCGCCCGGTCGCAGCAAGTAGCAAAACACAGCGTAGCTCGACACCTATATACGCACAATATAGAAACCTCTTCAGGAACACAGGACAAGGCGTCACCCCTCTAACATGGTCGTTCGTTAGTGGTACCACCAGAGACATTTACACCTCTCTGACGTATACCAGCCTGATCAAGCATGAATGAGAAAGTTCAACCAGTGTGCAGATGGGCTGGGAGACGTAAATAGAACCCTACAAACTTCTTATTACAACAAGCATGTGCAGTGTTTAACCCCCACCCACACCCCCTTTCTCAATTGTTTTCCTCACAGAATTGCTTTATTATTGATTTGAAGTAATTGGTCTTCATGATGTCATTTTCCTGGCACACGAGAATCAGTTTCAACCATGCTGCTCAATTTTGCTACGAAGAACTTTAGGGATCAAAAATGAGTTTTAGTCTTGGAAAAGAACATTCCCGTGTACTGTTGGTTACCATCATGCACATGAACATTCTGAGTGCAATTTCAACATTCGGGAAAACAGATTTCAAATACATGTAGTTGAAAAGTATATTTATGTACAGTACAGGAAGAATCTCACAAGTTTTACTAACGTCTCGACATACTCTCATAGAGGAAGAGAGAAGGGGGGGGGGGGGGGGGGGGGGGGGGGGGTAATTTAGGTTTATATTGCAAATAATTAATGTAAACATCAAATATATTTTTATTTATGGCAAGTCACTTGACATACACAGATTAGCATGGTGCCCGTATGCTCGTCAGGTTCCCGCGCAAGTGCCCAGAAAGCCCTTTTATTGAGATCAGGGATGACTCTATTTATAATAAATACAGAAGGGCATGGTTGAGATGACCCTGTCTAGTAAGCGTAAAAAGGAAGCAGAGAGAACAAACAAACTTTACTTTCTAAGGGTTATAAATTGGGCACGCAGGCTTGTCTTACATTCGGCCCTTCCAAACAGAGAGACCTGGTAAGAGAGACTGACTTTTTACGCCACTAGGACATCACACTTAAACGATAAACACCCAATGACACAAAGTGCCACCACGTGGATGAGAAACCGCGTTTAGCCAATAGACCATGTTTATATTGAGGCCCCTGTCAAGAGCCAAGATGGGGCTTCAAAATAACGATAAATTGTAATCCCACAAGGAAATGACTATATTTACTCGGTTAGAGAGAGAGAGGGAGAGAGGAGGGGGTGGGGGGGGGGTTAAACAGTCTAGCATCATGACACGCGAGAACATCCCTAGCATGGAACATAGCCAGCAAACATGCAATGCTAAGGCTATATTCAACTAAATTTATATTGGGTGACAATTTTTAAAATGGGGATCGTCACCAGCCAGAAGCACGAGCATAAACAGATCATTAATGCAATGCAACTGGCATTTAACCAGTAGAACAGCCGTGTGCTACGTATTGGACAGGGGTTATAATTCAAGGTATTGACCAGCCCAAATCCGAATCCAAGCTTGCATCATGTGCATCCTCATTCATTGCCTTTCGTTAGCCGCAGTCCCGTCTTGCGTCATCTGCTACCCCATTCCAGTTATTTACTCCTCCTCCCTTTCCTATCCCTTCAGAAACAACGTACATATCTACACAAAGCAACAGCCAATTTAAACTACTGCTTGACTGCATCGACCAAATTATTCCATTATCTTTGACTAGGCATCGGCACATTTTGCAACAACTTTCACAAAAATTGCAGACGACGTAAAGAATTGTTCCGTTTTTTTTTAGAGCCGGTACTGTCAAGTTTTGTAATAATTTAACCAAAACAGCGACAGGGCATGCGCAAAACTACACACGTGAAGTGCATGCTGCAAGACAGGTTTGAGTGAAAGTCATTGATGATCGGACCCCAATCTACCCCGATAAACTACTTCTACCAACATGTCTTGGCTCTTCGGCAACAAGAGTCAACCCCCAAACGTTCCCGGTTTCCCACAGGTACCGCAGCCGCCGCCCCCTGGAGGTCCTGATGGGGGAGACAAGAGGAAGGATAGTAAGATGGAGTATTCTTTTGATTCGTCAGCCTTGGAGAGGGCAGCTAAAGCTGCCAAGGAGTTGGAGAATTCAAGTTAGTAATTGCTTTTTTATTTTTTTGTAGAAGTTAAGAAGTTAGTGTTTGATTGTCGTGTTGAGTTGATTGATGTTCTTCATGTTCACGTTCTTACCATAGCTTTTTATAATCAGAAGTATTGTAGTATTAGTAGGTATTTTAGTCAAAATTTAAAAATTGGGTTTTTTACTTTTAAACCAAGACAGCTAAATAGAGGTTGAAAACCCGAGTCCAACGGTACCTGAATGAAGTCTGTATGTCAATTCTAAGCGGAGATATTCACATTTCAGTGACGGAAAGTGCCCCCCAAAAAATATAATGGAAAACACAGAAACAAGATGGCGGCATGTTCCCAAGTGAAAACTGGACCTAAATTTATCATGTTTAATGTCAATAACTCTCAAGTTTTTGGCTGAACCCCTTAGCAACCATATGTCATTGCTTTCAGGACAGCAAGCTCTAACTAAAGTTGTTGCCTTGTAAAAAATATGATGTGATGCAAACCTAAATAATATAAAAATGAGTCAATTTATCAGTATTAATTAAATACCTTATGAATTTATTATTATTATTCAGTGAGTCTTGCAAGACGTATACTGTAATATATATATATATATATATATATATACTTTTGTAACTATTCTTCCTGCTATGATGCATCTTTTTCTGTTTGTTGAATAATGCTTTTTCTCGCACTGTCACTTGTGTGTGTGTGTGTGCATACATCTGACCGAAATTTGCTTTATTCCACTGTTTAAAAAATGTTCAATAGCAAGTGGATCGACTTCATTGCATCGTTACTGGTTTAGTATGGCTTGGTCTTTCTCCACATAACTGAACGGCTAGCGCATGCTAAGAGCTTAGCACGAAGCCTGAATACCGTAGCTCCAGCAACAGCCCTCAGAGGTCTCCGCTAACCAAAAAAATTCATTTTTTAGTTGAACAACGCAGTGAACGTACCGCAACCTTCTGAGCGCAAGGTTAATGGCTTGACCACTTTGCTACGGAGACCCCCATGTTTTATAACCAAGTGAAAATGAGAGCCCCTCTTACTGATTTAACATAATCCTTTTTTTCAGTCTTTGCGAGTTATTCTTTCATTTTTTTGATGATGAGGACATTTCACTATAGTGTTCCCCTCTTCTTCTTAACTAGTCACAGCTCGATATTTTATTTACTTGTTTAAAATAATCTAAGGTAACCGCCCGATTTGTGATTCAGTGCTATATTTTTCATGGAGTAAAATTATTAAATAAGCTCCTTTGTGATTCGCTTTGGATTTATGTTGTGTTTTCATGGAGCAGGATTTCATAAGGAAGGTAAGAGGAAAAATAACATTTTATTTTTTTTAAAGTATCTATGTCCCACGTGATCTGTTTGCTGGCTAGTATATATTAGTATATATTAAAAAAATGATCAAATATTATTAATCATAAGTTGTAAGTAGCCTTAGCTGTAAGTAAGTAAACTTATGCAGTTAAACAAATTATATTTTATTATTAATTTCATTAATCATCAACTTTCTAAATAAGCATATCTAAAATCTAAGTAAGTCAGAACTACAATTTTAATACTAATACATAGTATCAGTCATAAATAGTACTTGTTTTACTATCTAAGACAATAAAAATGCACCACAAAATCATAGTGCAGAAATATATGGCAGACATTTTTTAAATGTTAATCTGGGAGCGGAGAGTGGGGGTCAGCAGGTAAAAAGGCCTTAAACAGGTAAGGTCCTTCATGCCCAATGATAGGTTATGGCTTAAAAAATTCTATAATGGCTAAAGATTCCAAAAATAATTTAAAAACTACTTTAATGTGATTTTAAAGTATATTAAAAAATGTTCAAACCAATGTCTGTGTCCATTTTCAACACTCAAAATACCCTAGCCAAATGGTCCATGTCAAAAACGTGCTAAAACATTATTTTCAGCTATTTAAAACTATTAAAACTGATGTCAAATGAAAGTTAAAGACAGTTAAATGATTAATAGAAATAAAACTTGCATTATTTTTTTACTGTTTTTATAAATAACTAGATATTAATCAATCAGTTCATTTAGACCACGTGGCGGCCATTTTGAAACATCTCCGATTTAGCTCTCAAGACACGATTGAGAACAAATTCAAACTTTCAACTTCGTCCTGTACAGATTCCAACAAAACTACCCACCTTTATGTAAAAATGGACACAGAATCCAAAAATGTCAACTAAAATTATTTATATTCACTTTAAAAAGGAGATATTAAAGAAATTTAATTCCCGCATGGCAAATAGTGAAATTTACTTGGCTGAACAAAGATCGCTACGTAAGTTAGGTGTCGTTTTGTAGAGCGACCTCTTCTGAATAACTTTGAGCCCATGTATTCGGATTCAGAACAGCCAGTATTGAGCGACGGGTTTTCAAAGTAACTGATAAGCAAAGGAGCCATTTTTCGTGGACCAACGACTCCATCTTGTAACTAAGCGATCTCTACTTTCGTTTTAAAGTGGGTCACCTTCCTGATTAGCATACCTAGTATTAGTAACTATAAATTACACATGCTTTGATTTTGAACACCACACAAAATTGAAATGAAACAGTTGGTATCGCAATATAATCATATAATTATAACAATAAGTTAATTAAGAAACAGACTGAAAGACGAAAAAAGTAAAATTCATTGTGATTGTCGTTGTTAAACGTTAGGACCACTGTAACACAGTCTACCTCCCTAAAATAAACCGATCCTGTCAAGATTGACTGCTTCCTTGTGATGAGTGCTCTTATTATATACAAATTAGGGCTACCCTCCAAATAACGCTCCCAAATTATCGAGGCCGAAAATATACCCTAACAGGGCCTGAGTCACATGTAAATTCAGACTTCCGGTGACTTAAATTGTTGACTACCGCCATCGTCAAGAGTATCTGCTACGTGTGCATGGAGTGGGGCTAAACTAGATGGCTGGGACTCACGAGCAGCAGCTACCGCATCTCCTGCAGCTTCCTTCATTTTATTTGCTTGTAAGTTCCAGCATCTAGTTTAGCTGTGCGTAGCGGCGTTGGAGATACTCTCGGCGGTAGCGGTAGTTGCCGGCAGTCTGCAATTTACACGTGACTGAGGCCCTTTTAGAGTATATTTTCGGCCTCGAAAATTTGGGACTGTTATTCGGAGGATAGCCAAAATAAGTAAGTGGACGTTCTTTTAAGTACTAGTAGTAGTTTTAGTACTACTACTTGGTAGTTAGTGGTGCTGAGCATCATGTCACCCACATCGCTGCTTCTGGTCAGACACCCAGAAGAATCTTAGGATCCACAGTTCCAATCTCCTCAATATCTCCACAACCTTCATGAACATAAAAATGTTACTGCCTGTTGGTGTAGCCGTAGCGTAGCCTGTTCCGTGTAGTGTGTTGATTAATCAAACATCTTGACTTATGCCCTTACTAAACTTACTTAGTGAAAGTCAGGGCCAGGTTGCACACCCAAATCCGCCCTTTGATAGCATTACAGTACAGTCATGCCATGCATTTTGTTATATTTGTCTTCTTTGACTTCATGGTATGCCTCACACATGGAGATAAAAGTATATTGTCAGGTATCAATCCGCAATCTTGAGAGGACATCCAAGTTTATGGCTCACAGTTGATTATGCGCATGACCAGAGATCACTGAAGAAGAATCTGCAATTGAAAGTATTCAGACCAAGAAGAATGTAAAACTCAGAATGATTCTGCATTGATTGTGGCTATATATAGCTCGTCAGAATGCAGAGGTTTCCCAAGTGTTTCTAATAAATTGTCATCTTGTATCAAAATTCCCTGACAACTTACGGAAATTATTTTAGTAACCAAATCTACCTTGATAAACTACTTCTACCAACATGTCTTGGCTCTGCGGCAGCAAGAATCAATCCCCAAACGTTCCCGCTACCCCAAGTTCCAGATCGATTGATCTCTCGGACCCCCTATATTCAGTATTCGTTCGATTTGTCCATTTTGGTATAGGCAGCTAAAAAGTAAGTTTTATTGTATCTGGAGGAAGTAACTGTTGTATACTTTCATATTCACATAAATAACTTTTGAAGAATTGCATAGGCTGCAGTATTACAAAACTTATATATTGGAAGGGGAATATTTAAGTATCAAATTAAACCTAGTCAGCAAAATTAAATGCATAGAGAAATCTGAGGTGATCATGACAGTTAAAAGTTGTGATTGGAATTATTATCGGTTGGGTCTCTCTCTCTCTCTCTCTCTCTCTCTCTCTCTCTCTCTCTCTCTCTCTCTCTCTCTCTCTCTCTCTCTCTCTCTCTCTCTCTCTCTCTCTCTCTCTCCCCCCCCCCCCTCTCTCTCCTCTCTCTTTCTTTCTTTCTTTTGCAGAATGTTTCTTTCGGTCATAATGTGCCAGCAAGTCACTTGGTTGCCAGGTAACTCCCCCACATCATAAGCTTTCATCCAGGGTGTCCTTTATATACTTTGTCCACTGTCATGCTGGTTGACTACTGCCACTTTTTCCAAACCTTTACCCTTTAGTACTATTATCTCCAAACTGTTATACTATTTTAATATGGCCTGAATATTTCATCTTAGAAGAATCAGTTTATGAGGCCTCACCCCTTTTTTCCGGATCAAAGTGTGAAAAATATCAATTTGTTTCTTTTAGACTAAAAAACAACTGTTCTGAGCGTTAAGTTCAAAAGTCTAGATTTTTTCCTAAAGTCCTCTTTTTCTTCTCCTTCACTTCCTTCAGTAATGTTCATATAAGCATTGGGAGGGGGGGGGGGGGGGGGTAGATTTTCTGTGTGCTCTTTTTGTTGAATTGTATAAATATTCTTTAGTTTTTTATGACGACTGTTCTTGATGCCACCTTTCCAGCTTCTATGTGGTCTTTCCTTTGTTCTGTGGCTGTTCATACTAGGACATTCTTGTCAAATGGCCAGTCAACTCATATGTTGCTCTTTAATAAAGTTTATGACTGGTTTCAGTCATAGCCTTCTGATTTTTCTATTTTTGTTTGTTTTATTCAGGCAGCTCTTCTAAGACATTTAATCTTTGTTATGACTTTGCACTGTTTAGTTTTAGGCAGGGTACATGTTTCTGTAGTAATTGTGAAATAGTCCACAACTCACATCTGTTATCTCTGGTTCCTGGGCCCCATTGTGGGTAAAACAGAATAGACCCACTACCTCTGAATAAGGTTGTTTAAGGAGTCGACTAATTGGGGGCTTCCTTCGAAGTCAAAGTGCATCTGCCTGAGAGGCGAGGAAGCAAAAATCGGCAAACAATTAAGTCGGATCTGTTGAAAGGATGTGCACGCAACACTCAGGTTCAGGAACCAGACTAAAGTCCAGAGGTGGACAAAAAAATCAGAACTTTCCGCCGGAGTTTACAGCCGGTGAGCGCAAAGAAGAAGAAGATTCTGTAACTACTACATTTTTCATTTATCAAACAGAACATGCCAAAGATGCACTACTGCTGATACAGGAGCAGGAACGGGCCAAGGCTATAGAGGCACAGAAACAAATCAAGGTAATTGTTCATAGATCTTTTCCTTCCTTAAAATAGTAGATGGGAACATTGATTGTGCTACACCACTTTTTTTTCCCGCAGGGCTGTCTCCACAGAAAAGCTGGCTTCCCACTGACATCACACAAAATTTCATATTTTGTGTGATGTCAGTGGGAGAGTTCATATGTCCAGCAACTACCCCAGGGATCTCGAAAACAGCTTTCCCCATGAACCAAATTTAGTCTTAAAATTAACTCTTGATCTTTGGAGCATAAAGTGAACGGCTTGACCACTTTGCCAATCAGACCATTCCTTGATAAATTCTGTAATAAAACTAATTGATACCTACATTGACCGGCACTATCCCCACGTGAGTTTTGAGGCCCTGTTGTGGGGAAAACAAGAATAGGCCCACTGCGTTCCTAGCAAGCATGTCGTAGGAGTCAAATAATCGGGGACATTTATGACCTCATCACGTAATATTCTCAGAGACAGCAGTTTGGCCAGCCAACATTGTAGAGATGGCACTGATGTTTTGTTGAGTTCTTTTACTGTTAACAAGGTGAATCTTCATGCTGTATATTTTTGTGACTGCTTATCACAGAGATTACAATGTTAAATTGTGACACATTGCTCTAAGGGAGGTGACGTATTCTATATCACAGTAATTTTCATCATCATCACAACGGGCCCTGCCAACTGGAGTAGGCGTTCATGCATCTCCACATATCTCAGTCCTTTGGATCAGTTCCATCAATGATATCCCTCTGTACTACAATCACAGTCCATCGGTCATCATCTCTCTCAGTCTGCCTCTCCCTCTTCTAGCGTTGATCTTCCCAGTCATCAGATTATTCTCCAAACTCTCCCCCCCCCCCCCCCCCCCCCCCCCACATCACATGACCAAGGAACTGTCCTTGTCATTTCCTTATAGCTGTAAATATTGATCTTTTTTCATCAGCTTCTTACAAGCAATCTTTGTTAGTTACTCTGGCAGTGTAAGGGATTGTTAACCTTTGTCCGAGGAACCACATCTTTGTCGCCTCCAAGTCCTTTCTAATTTGTGCATTCACATTCCATGCTTACAGAATTGTTAAATTGTAATATAGTACTCTCTGAGTCTGATGACTTTTCCTCATGTCTCGCAGTAACTTGTAGAATTGTTTAATTGTAATATTTTGCTCCGAGAGGTGTGACTCTTTCTTACTGTAAATTATAGAACTGATAGTTGCAGCATAGTGCTCTTGGAGGTGACTTAACTCTCTTGTTCACAGTAATTTACAGAATTACTTTATAACTTGAGCACTGTTGCTTTTGCAGGAATATGAGGCCCACATAGAACAGTTAAAGCTGGAACAGGTGCGGGTTGCAGCTGAGGAAAGGAAGAAGTTAATGGCAGAGGAGGCCAAACAGCACCAGTACAAGGCACAGTATGACGACCAGTTAGCCCGCAAGCGTTACGAGGACCAGCTGGCACTGCAGGTAATTTCTTTTTGCGTCCATCATTGCATACTAAAGAATGATTATTTTCTACCATCTCCAACCCAGGTAACGAGATGCAAAAGAATGACACCCTTTTTCCTCAGATAATGACACTCCCTCCTCTCCCCAGATAATGGCATACAAAGTATGACAACCCCCCCCCCCCCCCTTCCAGCTAATATAATAGCATACCAAAGACTGACAACTTCTCTTCCTAATTAATGACAGTCCAAAGAATGACATCCCTTCAGATAATTGCATACCACAGTACACCATCTCTTCTTAAGTAATAACATACCAGTTAGTGTCATTTGTCTCATTTCTTCCTACACTTCCCACTACCTCCAAGAAAAGGAAACATTAATTTTTGAACGCTCTGATGACTGCTGCATGTTTCTTTCTTTCTTTCAGGCCAGAATGAATGAGGAGAATCTCAGGAAACAGGAGGAGTCGATCAAGAAACAAGAAGCCATACGCATTGGTAAGTGGTCAGTGCCCAGATGAGTTATTAGTGGTCATTATCAAGATGAAGTCAATGGTTATTGTCAAGATTAAAGTTAATGGTCATTGTCAAGATTAGAGTTAATGGTTAGTGCCCAGCAGCCTCTATCAAGGTAGAGCTGGCTGAGTGTCCAGATGAGAGTTGTCAGTGCTTAGATGAGAGTTACTGGTTAATGCTCAGATAAGAGTTAGTGGTCATTTTCCAACTAAATTATTTGTTTCTTTTTCTTTAAATCAACATCTTTCAACATTTAAGGTCAGAATTATAAGCATTTGATGTATTGTTTCCGTGGTGGGGGTTGTATGGCATGAAAATGCTTGGCTGATACATATAGACCAACATTTTCGGACGCAGGATAGATCTCTGAAGTCTTACTGACTGTCCAACATGCAGTTGTCGAACTTAAAGGCACAACTCCAGGGATTGTGTTTTATTTTGCAGGTTGTCCTAATATTGCCTAGATTGTGCTAGTCATAAATCCCTGTATGGGTTCCAGGGCCTCATTTTTTGGGAGGAGAAGTGTAGATGCATGCCCCAAAACACACAAGTTGTAAGCGATGATTGTTAGCTGAAATCAGATGTGTTAGGTTGAAAAATGCAGATATCGCAGCTTAGCTGTAAATCACAATACGCTGCTCCAGCTACCCTTATAAGGGTGAATAAAGAAGATACTAGTCACAAAGAATAATTTTGACCCACAGGGGTGACTCTTCAAGGAAACCGTATGCCACTAGACATTTATGTGGGAAATGTGATGAAACTATAGTGGATGTAAAAGTCTAACATGTAATAGAAGCAAAGTGCTCATTTTGTGTATGTAGTCGAAAAATCAGGTCTGCAGACCTCTAAAAACATATCGCCCGTGATAAATGAAATGTTCAATGAATGGAAATGAGGTTACACAGGAGCAGGTCACTATTCCTTGGGGGGGAGTCCAGTATCACAGCATTATGTGGCTTCTCTGGACCTGACTGACCTTGTGACCTAGGAAACAAAGATGACCACACGACAGACTGCTGTGTCCCACATAACTAGCGGGAAAGTCTAACCCTGGTCAGTAAATGCCTGCAGAAGACGGATGTATCTGCTAAAAGGTGCAAATATCGCAGCCATGCTGTAAAGGGGCGTGACACATTTACATCTTAGATGAATGCAGAAGAAGAATGAACTGTTTTATCTCTCCAGAGCTTTTTCTTGTTGTGATTTATAGATAGGCTGCAATATCTCCATCTTTAACCCAGTCATCTGATTTCGGCTAAACTCTTAGTAAGATGTGCTTATTAGAGGCAGCGGGTATCGCCCCCCTCCCTCCCCCCCTCTCTCTCTCCAGGGATCCCCGGAACCAACACAGAGAGCTTCAGTGCTTATGTTTGATTGGTTTTCTCCCCATGAAATACTACCTATTCTTATTGTTTTACTCTATTCATGTTTTTTCATCACAATTACCAGTTGTTAATGTTAAAGTTATTCCTGTGTTTTTTTTTTTCTACGAACACCTTTTTTAAAAAACTTTTTATGGTTACTCATGTTTTTTCATTGCAGCCATTGTTTTACTTATTATTTTACCTGACAACTGCCTATTCTAATTGTTATAAAAGCTGCATATTTTCATTGTTATATTCGTTTGTTCCAACCAATCAACAGCCACCATGGAAAAGGAAGCAGAATTGAGGCACAAACACGACATGTTGAGAATTGAGGCAGAGATGCGAGGCAGAGCAAAAATGGAGCGGGAAAACTGGGATATAACAAAAGAGCAAATCAAACTGAAAGCTGCAGAAGACAGAAAAACCAAATTAGAAGCTATCAAGTAAGTTGCTCAGTGTTGTATGGCAAACAATCATATTATCAGACTTCCCTTCTGGATTCTGGGGCCCTATATTTGGGGGGGGGGGGGGTGGTGAATATTGTGTGATGGTGGCTTCAATAAATACAGGACTGGCTTGGATATATAACTGGAAATATACTTTGGATGAAGAACTAGATTTTATTAACGTAGAACAAAGTACTGATTTGGGGGGGGGGGGGGGGGGGGGGGGGAGCTTGAGTGGTCTCAATGTATGGCGTCCGCCTCGAGTGCTGGAGGTCCCGGGTTCAAGCCCCGGTGAAAACTGGGAATTTTTCATGTGGGCTTAGTAATTTCACCTGGTCTCTCCATAGTAAGATCAGACGTCCGTGTGAATTGTTGCGCATATAAAAAAAAATACCTAGGCGGTTGGAAATAAAAAATAATGCCTAAAGTATTTCAGGATCTTCGCCTGTGCAACGGAGTTGGTGATTGTGCTGAGATTCTTCAGACTCAGGCTTGAGTTAGAAATATAATGGAGCATTTATGGGTTGCAGCTGTGTGTCATGATGTTGATACATTGAGAAAATGTAAACATAATTTACTGATGACAAATGGTAAAAGTAACACATCAAGGTCATCCATCCATTTACTTATTGAAAATTATTTCCTGTCAGCATTGTCCTGTTTAACGAAGAATCTATCTTGCCTTTTGTTTTTAGCTCATACAGTCAAGTTGTGGGGATGGGGTTGACAGCCTTCCTAAATAACTGGAGTATGATAACCGCATTTGTAAGAATTGTTGTCTTGATTGTTTCGAAGATATAGCATATTCATTCAGCGGGTGTCATCTGCTTATGGTTTCCATTGTACTTCTCACTTTCATTTATAATTGTTTCGTATGGCTGTTACTTCCATGTTCACATTTTCTGTTGTGTGAATGTTTGTATCTGAGTGTGTGAATGTTCCTGTCTGTTACTTCCATTTTCAAATTTTCTGTTATGAGAGTGTTTCTATCTGAGTGTGTGAATGTTCCTTACTTCAGTCTTCACATTTTATGATGTGTGAAATTTCTTTTGTCTGTCTCTCACTTCCATATTCACATTTTCTGTTGTGGTAATTATTTTTATTGCTTCTTTATTCAAATTTTCTGATGTGTGACATTTTCTTGTCTGGCTACAAGCTTCCTATATGATTTTCTTTTGTGTGTCAGGGACTGTCGGATGTTGTCTTCCAAGCAAACCCTGGGTCGTCCTGGTTCCCTGGTTCTTGCCTGCGGTAGTGGCCGATTCTCTGACATGGACCACTAAATGTACCAAACCCTGAAAAGAGGTACCATGAAATACTAAAGGAACTAAAGGTGTATGAAACTGGAATTTAGTGGATCCTGCAAGAAAGGGCATGAGAGGAGCAGGGCGGTGTGTACGACCAGTGTACTGCTAGTGCAGAGTTAAGAGTTAAAAGTTACATCCAGAGGATATGCTTCATTGCACTGGGTTTTAACCCATATGGCTCGGTCTCTCTGCTGAATGGCTAGCCACCTGCAAAAAGCATCACATAGAGCACAAACTCTATAGCTTCTGCAACAATACCCAGGGATCTCGGTAAAAATTGTGCACTTGTAAACCGAACTATGCAGCCATGAAACGAACCCATGGCCTTCAGACTGCGTGGCATATGGCATAAACACTTTGCTGCGGAGATGTCCTGTTACTGAAGCAGTCAGCATCAATACTTTGGACATATGCTGCTGGGGACGTAGTGGTACTTAATTTTTTATTCATCCCAAACAAAGAAAATTCTGGACTTCCCAGGACAAGTCCAATATAATAACGGTAGGCAGCCTATCTTATCCATATCATCCATCAAGTTTGGATTGGTCTGTATAAGAAACAAATAAGAAATCATGCGCCAACATAGTGTGAAAGTTAACATTAAAAAACAAATGCCTGGGAAAATTGAGCATCAAAAGGATGAATTAAAAAAAGGCAAAATCAAATGTCCAGGCAATTGCTGGTATCAGCAATTGTGGGAGAAGGATCATGGCAATATATTGGGCACATTCTTAGACAAATCAAAGAATCATAGAAGAGGCACTGAAATAGGACACAAATAGATAAAGGAAGCAAGGATGTCTAAGAGATCCTATGATGAATGTTGGTGAGAGAAGCCAGAAGGGCTGTGCTAGATTCCATGCACAGTATCAGAAACATTACCTGGGATAAAACAGGAGGAATAATCTGCTGTAAGCCTTCAGTGATGTCTAAGAAAAGCTATGATGAATGTTTGTGAGAGAAGCCAGAAGGGCTATGCTAGATTTCATGCACAGTATCAGAAACATTACCTGGGATAAAACAGGAGGAATAGTCTGCTGTAAGCCTTCAGTGATGAATAAATGTACAGCAGACTGATAATGTTATATATATAGATTAATAATTGAGTAGACATTATCCAGTCACATGGATATTTTACCCGTCTATGTAGTTGTGTTTGGAAATGAGCAGGCAGGTAGGTTGGCTGGACTGGCCCTCTAGTGTGAGGGTGGTGTACCGCAGCTACACAGGGCAGAGGTGATCTCTAGCCTGTGGGACAAGTTAACAGGTAAAATGGAAGAAATTTAAAACCCATATCTGGAGAGAATGGTACAAGTGGGGAGTGTCTGCAGGCTCTGTGCACCACTCGGGGGAAGGGCAAGGCAGATAGTAAACCAGATGACTGCAGGTACCAACAATATGGAAACTCTATGTTAGCTGTTGAGAAGGGAGATGGAGCTAATGTAGGCTTGTCCTGTGTGCTGTGATGTCCAATCTTGTACTAGGATGAAAAAAGAAGGTGTTATAAAATTAAAGTTCAATTACATTTTATGGTTCCCACGTTTAATCTACACATATATATCCCCTTAATGACGGTTTTGAAATAAAGCACTCACAAGTGATCTCCATTACTGACTGACTGACTTTCTACCCCACCAGGACATCACACAAGCGATAAACACCCGATGACACAAAGTGCCACCATGCGGATGAGGATCACCGTGGAGAGGTCCCAGAAACCGCGTTCAGACAATTGGCCATATTGATGGCCTGCCTATATTGCGGCCCCTGGCAAAAGCCAGAGTAGGGTTTCAAATAACAAAAAAAAAATACGTCCTAAGAAGGACGTAAGGAATTATCTCCATTACTGCCAGTCTGCTACTTTTATACCCATGGTATTCTATGTCATTTTACATCCTTAATTTCCTTTTCTGCCGCCCTGGATTTATTAAGGTGGTCTGTGTCTTCTTTTTCCATCTGCTATACTTGCAAATTGTCACGAGACATTCTTCAAACATGCTCGAGCTTTCTCCGTCTTCTTTTTTGTGTGTGGATAACATTTGCCAGTGATGAACATTCTTGTTTTCTCTTAGGTTCTTCATTTTGTTTGGTCAAAATCGGCACTTGGGGCGTGATGTGGTCAGGAACACACTGGTCCCCTTTACTTCCCAAGACTGTACCTGGTACCCAGTTAAGGCTGGGTCAAGCTGGGAGCCAAGGTTATTTTTGGAGGAAAAAAAAGTCAGGCTTAGTCAGGACGCCCCACAGACTTTCCGATCCATAGGCGAGGCATTACCACCTACCCTGTTGTATATCCATTACGCCCCATGCCAAAACAGAAATTCTTTACTTTGATCTACAGTCTCTGTTTGCACATTAAATTTTATGTGATGTCTTCCACAGGCAGGCGGAGCCACTTTAGTTGTTGGGGGTTACTATGGTGTCAAATACAGTTTTGGCCTAGTTTTCCGGGCTGTTGAAAACAGATTAGGAAAGCCAGCATTGGTCCGGGAAACATCCCGTTTCACTGTAGGTTCGGCTTTTAAACACCCGATCAAGGTGAGAAGTTCATTTAGTTGGATGTCATAAATTATTATTTGTTCACATTTTATTTTTACACATTTATTAATTTGTGCCACATTGACTGACTTGTTGAATATTGTTGGTCTTTGAACTGTGTTAATCTGTCTGATGTTTTGTCTGGTTTTCTGTGTTGTCTTTTGTATATTATTTCTGGTATATCTTTGTATTGTATTATGTCTAATTTGTGGATTATTGCTGTCTTTTCTATTTTATATCTGATTTGTATTGTATTGGGTTGATGTTTTTTTTCCTGCTTTGTCTTTGTACTTTTTTGTGTGATTCTTGCTTGATTTGTCTTGTATCTTTTTCTTTTTACAGTCCACATTATGTTGCTTTGGAATTTGGTTTGTCAGCCTTCTATCTTGTGTACTATCAGATGGATGTTTTCCAAGCTAAATGTCCGAAAGCTTCTGTCTTGTTCTCCCTCTGCCTCTCTTCCTCTCTAGCTTACCTGTTGTCATGATGTACTCTTTTTTTTTTTCTTTTAGCATGCCCAGAGAATGTAGGTCACTTTCGAGTTATGCAGTTCTCTTGGTGAATCACTTTTTAAATCTTACAGTAATATGACAATTAAAATAATGGAATAGGATCTCAGTTCTATTGGTTTTTAAACTTAAGGTAGTGATTAACTCTTTGGATCCAAGGAATGATTCACAGTCTATAGCTTGTACCGAAAGAGTTAACAGTGAACAATATGTCATAACAGGTGACTAATTTGGGTTTTCCTGAAATCAGATGTGCTGGGACAGGCTGTTGCAGACCACAACAAACTGTCAACTGCCCCTAGAAGGGTGAATGGGAAAGTAGAAGACATGTTCATAGTTGGTTGGCTTTTCAGCTAGATTTGTATATGCAGTCTGAGTTAAACCCTACCCTTAGATGCCCTTTCCTAAAGTCAGCAATATCACACAAGCAGCAGGTTTTATTTTTAGTGGACTGCAGGTTATTTGGTTCCCCATCTGGGTTCTGGGGGCCCAGTTTTGGGTGGAAGGGATAAACCTGCCTGGTAACATGTTATAAAATTTCACTGTTTGTTGAAATTGGGTGTGTTGGGCTGAAAGGCACAGTCACTGCCTAGCTGTAAACCACAAGCAGCCAACCACTTTTTCAAGGGTGTGTGTCAAAGATTATTATTATTAGCTATCATTTTGTCATTAAATTTCATTTAAAATACATGAGAGTTTGTTGGTATTAATAACTGAATCATTCTGTTTGTTACAGACCGTTGCACAGTTAGTAAAGAGGCCTGAAGATCCAATGAAAGGGATTATTTTGAAGGTATGTTTCAAGTGTTTTACAGTTAGCCCTAGTTGATGCAAGCTGGTAACATTTAATTGATGTAAGTAGGTTAACGAATTGAGAAAATAAAGGTTGGTGTTAGGGCAACAGTTGTTATCATAGTAACAGAGTAATTTTTGTGTCAGAGTAATTGAACTAAGATGTATGATGCTATTGTTGTATGTTGGTATCACAGTAACGAAACAGATTTAGATTCATATTTGTACCAGACTAATGGAATTGAGATATAACTGATCCTTGTTAACATGAGAGCATTGTTTGGTCAGTGAAGCTGAATATTTGAAATATTTTTATTGCGTTTCAGCCTTCCTTAGAAGAAAGACTCAGAGATATTGCCATAGCAACAAGGCACACAAAGAAAAATGGTGGCTACTTCAGAAACATCCTGATGCATGGTCCTCCTGGAACTGGGAAAACAATGTTTGCCAAGGTAACAGTTGGCATGTGACACTTTTGTTGACTTTTTCATTACTCTTCTGCCTGAAGGAGTCTCCACAGTCCTGTCTGATTTTCTGGAAATGTTGTTTCACCCTTCCACCCTTCCTTGGTTATCTCTTATGACATATGGTAGGTTACAGATAGGTTGGGAGAGGTCAGAGGATACAAATTGGACATAGAAACCTGCTGCATTTTAGGTAGACTTTATGCTATAGAGGCTAAAGAAGGTAAATGTGGAAAAATGATGTCAGAATTGGATTTATTGTGTGACTTGAAATCATTGCATCAGAGTGGTCCAGTCATTTGCCTCACACTCTGAAAAGCAAGTCGCAGGGTAATTTTACTGATGTTTTGTTCAGTTTTTAATATATTTCTAAAGTATCATCGGTGGTGCTGTGGAATACCTGCTTTGTGTGGCACTTTAAGCAGTCAGCTAGCCCATCCTTAGAGAGAGACTTAATTGAAATAACCCGTTAAAACAAAGTTGATCTACTTCCCTTTTCACTTTAACTTTCCTTGTGCGTTGATCTTAAATAACTTTTCCACTTCTGGTTTGTTTGTTTCAGAGCTCTGCTATTTCTCTGCCTTTTTCTCTCTTAATTTCCTTGTCCTCTCTTCTTCCCATTGCCAGCTGAAGATGGTGCCAAGCGCAGACAAATGAATTTTTAAATCGAATGTAATTTGAGACCCAATTACAGTTTGAAGCAAGATTTTGTAAAGGCCCTTTGGGAGCTAGTAAACAGTGCCAAGGCACAAATTGATCATCAGCGGTCTAAAGAGAACGGTGGGGCGAGAGGAACAAATGTTCAGACTGTTTAGTGGTACCATCAGAATTGGAACTCTCTGCTTCCTGCTGAAGTTGGGGACAGAGAGCTTATGTTAATGTCCCATGTTCTGTGATGTTGGTTCTTAACTAAACTCGTTACTTACTGTTTCAGAGCTTGGCCAAACACTCAGGAATGCATTACGCTATACTTACCGGTGGTGATGTTGCTCCATTAGGGAAGGAGGGAGTCACGGCCATTCACAAAGTCTTTGACTGGGCACACACAAGCCGCAAGGGGTAAGTAGAAATGTAAATGAGTGAATACTTTTAAGACAAAGGAATCAGTTACAGTGAACCACCTGATGGGTATAAAAGGGAGGACAAACATGTAGAAAATCGGTTGCGGGATAAAGAAAGAAGATATGCCAATCAGCTCCTGTTGTTGTTTTTTTTTTTAGCATAGAATGCTGCTGCATCTGAGGACGAAGCAAGAATGAGTCAGACCGATGTGCTAGAATTTTGATGCGGATAACAAGTAACAAATGAATAACCTTATGAATTAAATTGTGTGCCATCTCCACAAGGGAGGTTGACTGCACTGCTTATTCTGTTTCACCCTTAAATGGCAGTTGACATGTTGCATTGCAGCTAGGCTGTGATATTTGTACCATTTGGCCTAACTCACCTGAAAAGTCAACGTTTTGCTCTATGCTTGCTAGTGGAGCAGTATGATAAAAAAAAATGGATAATAGAATGCTCCTCCTCTTTTGTGCATGTCAAAAGTGAGGGCCATCTTTAAACTCATTAGGACATAACCATGTTTGTCTCCATCTTGATTTCATGTGCTTAACTCTCTTGGCATTCGTAACATCAATAATGTCATGGTTATTGTAATTTTCTGTCACACGGTTAGGGATTTCCTTTCGAGGCTGCCTCATGGATATAAAAAAACAAATGAATAAGACAGAGATAGATATAAAAATAAGAATACAAAAGGAGCTCTCACAGCACTAGGAATTCTAGGCAGAAGTCCGGTTAAACCTAGTCAGTAAAGGACCTTGTCTCATCAGTGGTGCATGGGCATGTGCTGCAAGTCTCATTTGTATAGACCAATCAGCACTCAGTGGGTGATCTCGGCAGCATCCTGCCAGCCACCTTTACTCCCCTGGTACCCATTTTAGGTTGCATCAGCCTAGGAGACCAAGGTCAGTTTTAAAAGAAAATGGTGCATTATTAATATCCTACCCCAAACGGGAGATCCACAGGTCACGGGACAAGTATTTCAGGGGGTGGTAGATAGGCTGCATGCAGTGATCGGACCTAGGCTGCATTTATTTGTGGGACCTAGGCTGCGCACTCTCGTAGGTGGGTTGGGGTTAGGGCCAGTTCTAGATGTTTTGGGGTCGTTAAAAGCATCAGAATGCCAGGAAACCCAGTCTTACCACCCTCTAGAATGTTGGACTGTCGTGTGACGTCATCTGGGGGTTGGATATTAATAAAGAACTGAAAAAATCCACCTATGTGTGTATTTTAATCCAATACCTTTAATTAAGTCAGCAGATGAATATCTAGAGTTAAACCTAGTACCAGATTTATATTTAGCTCTGATTTCAAATCAGCATGACCGTATGATGCTGAAACATGGAAAATACATTAAATGACTCATTGCGCAGAAAAGCATTTATGTGTACCTTTCATCCATTTCCTACACACCTAGTCACAGTCCAAGAATCTCCCACTCTTTGTCTTCTCACCTGACATGCTTAGAAACCCCCTTTACTTCCACTGATCAGATTTTACTTGTTCACTTCCTGCTCCTATAAAAGTGATGCCCGCTTCATTTCTGTTCTTAATACAGTTCAGAGCGGTCGGGCGGTGGAAGTCCAGTATACTTGACTGTGGGGTGCTAAAGGTTAACGTTGTTTTGTTTCTTGTCATTGTTTTGCCAATGAAGGCTGATCGCTGCAACATTATTTGTTTGTTTATTGTGAATGGTTTTGTTTGTAAAGCTGAGAGATACTTTTTTCTTCTGATTTTCTGTTTTTATCCTCCCTGTCTTTTACAGTCCTTTTCAGACCTCATTAGTGCAGGGTGACAAGAAATTCTGATGCCTTTATCTGTAACTACATGTAAAGTCTGTATATTTGGTTTACCTGTAAAATATTATATGGTTTAGCTGTGAACACTTGGTTTGATTTCAAAGTGGTGCTGTTTGTTTATGAGGCTGATGCCTTTATCTGTAACCATATGTAAAGTCTGTTATATTTGGTTTGCTTATAAAGTGAACACTGGGTTTTGATTTCAGAGTGGTGCTGTTTGTTGATGAGGCCGATGCTTTCCTGAGAAAGAGAAGCACGGTAAGCAAACTTTTCTTCTGTTACAACACATGTGGGAATTATAATAAGATTACACTAATGATTATTGTCAAGAGAAGTTAGAAGGCTGGGCTGGATTCTATCCATAATATTGAATTGATTGCACAGGATGGAATGGAAAAATAGACTGTGAGCCATGTGTGACTATAATTGCAGAATAGTGAATGAATTGTCTAGTTTACACACATGGTATGTTGCCATATTTAACTAATGATAATTGTCTGGTTTACTCACAATGTATCTCGCCAGATTACATGGTAATGGTCTAGTTTTCATTAATGGTAACTGTCCAGGTTACACACGTGATATTTAACCAGATTGCACACTGAGTATATTGCCATATTACACTAATGGTAACTGTCAAGTTTACCCATATAGAATATTACCAGATTACTCTAATGGTAGTAGCCCAGTTGACATTAAAGTTAATTATCCAGGTCACAGATGGTGTTTTGCCAGATTACACTAATGATGATAGTCTAGTTTGTACACATTTTATATAATGTCAGCTTAACCTAATGATAATTGTCCAGTTTACGCATGCTTGTTTTACACATGCTTGTTTACACATGCTTGTTTACACATGCTTGTCAAGATTACTGCCACATGGTAATTGTGACTTAGCACATGTCACCCTGCACACATGGTGATTGCCCAGTTTACACAAATGATAATGCTCTACCTTTGCACAGTTTATACCCCTAGTTTATTTACATTCACATTGCAGATGGCAAGTTTACACTTATGATGTTTTGCTTGCACACTTATCATAACGTCATTTTGTGTAAACCTTGTCATTGCAGGAACACATCAGTGAAGATATGAGAGCAGCACTAAATGCATTTCTGTACAGAACTGGAGAGCAGTCTCAGAAGTAAGTTGTGATGGGACTGCTTGTGCAAACCCATCTTGTGCAAACCTTGGAAAAACCTGAGAGATTTTATCATTGCATTTGCTCTGCCACTGATGGCTGACAGTTGTAAGGCCAGTTGTTGAGTAGTTATTCACCTGTCAGTAAGAATAATGCCCTGACCACATTGCAGCATGTCTGCATTGGTAGCTGTCACAGGATGTCCACAGCACGGCTGATCAAGCAGCTCTGCATCTCCACTTCCTGATTCTTATAACCCAGTGACTGACTGACTGGCTGATTACTTCTCTCAACTGCAAAACTGCCTCACATGTCACATAAATGCTGATGAATGTTCACACCAGTTTTCTTCTCTGCAACAAAAAATTCTGCCACAGTTCCATGCCTAATATTAATAACACAAGTTGCTAACAGGCTCAATTTTTTACGGTTTAGGGCAGTAGTATTATTTCAAAGGTTGACTAAGATTGATTTAACTTTTCTGACATCTACAGGTTTATGTTAGTTCTGGCTAGCAACCAGCCAGAGCAGTTTGACTGGGCCATCAACGATCGGTTGGATGAGATGGTTGAGTTTCAGATTCCCAGCTTTGAGGAGCGGGAGCGGCTGGTGAGGCACTACTTCCAGAAATTTATCCTTGAGCCAGCGGCATCAAAGTCCAGGTGAGGTTTTGTATTTTGGCCTATGAAATTGTTCTTCATACAACTTCAGTCATCAAAGTGACTACGTTAAAAGAAAAATAGGGTGTGCCATCTCCACAGTGAAGGTTGTACCCAGTGCTGTTTTGGGGAATATTACATGGTTAAATCCTAGTTTCTTCCACAGTGTGACTGTTGCACATTCATCAGCAAATCGCACGAATGGTGGAATTATTTTTCAAAACATAACGTCCGCCAGGGAGATCAACCCATTAGAAAAAAAAGTATGTGTATTCATGGCAACCTCTTGTTGGTTCAGATAATGGAGTCCCAGATCAAACCCTAACCTTGAGAATCCCAGGCTTCATCACTTCACCACAATACCCACTTGCTACATAGACTACAAAATCACAAATTAAACATAAGTTTTCCCAATGTATGCTCCAGAGCCCTGTTTTGGGGTGGGGGCAGGAGTAGACTGCCCTCCCCCTAGCATACGAATCATAAAATGTAACTAATTAGGAATTTGCTGAAATCAGATGTGCTGTGGCAAAAGGTGCATATATCGCAGCCTAGCTGAATCCACAACACAACGTGCCAACTGCTCTTTTAATGGCAAATACAGAAGAAGAATTTACAAATTCCACAATTCCCCAGTATCTTTAATTTACTAAAGAAGCATATAAGCCAGTTATGTCTCTATGGTGCAGAGATTAAACAGCCTCCAGAACCTGTGACACAGTATCTGCAAAGCAGTTAACATAAACATTTTTGCCATAGCAACATGATGTGAATCAGGGGCTGTTACTGAATCATTGAAGAAAAAATTGGAGCTTTTGAATTAAAAGGGTACAGACAGTTCTTTTTAAACAAAAAACACAGAAGAAACATTGACATCCTACACAATCTGAACATTGAGGGGAACTGGTTCATAAACAGCAGGGGGGGGGGGGGGTTAGGCAGAAAAGCCACATTTCTCCCAGATTTATGGTATTTATCATGAAATCAAGGTCCAAGGTTTATGATATCCATATTACCGAGCCAAAGGGTTATACAACTCATGGTTTCTGGATACTTAAAAATAAATAAATTCAAAAACAAATAAACCAGTATCCTCTGTGTTATAAACCAGTCGACTCTCAATGAGTAATAGGATCAGCATCCTACTGGCCAGCTTTATTTCCCAGGTCATTACCTGATACCCATTGTTTGGTGGTTTAGTCGACCTAGGAGCCAGTATTTAAAAGGAAAATACTGAATCTCCAGAGTTCTGATTCAGACATAAAAGACCATTAGGTTAGCATCTAGCAACTTCCTATACTACTGCAGCTGCTTTTTTAGATTAACTGGAGTCTTTCCCAAAGATCCACTTTCTGTCGTACCGTTTGATTCTCTCTTTAAATTCAAGCAAATTAATTTACTAGTTTTTATATTTTTCTCATATTGCAGTCGTCTTCGAGTAGCAGAATTTGACTATGGTAAAAAATGTGCAGAGATTGCAGAGAAGACAGAAGGACTGTCAGGCCGAGAAATTTCCAAGTTGGGCGTAGCCTGGCAGGTGAGAAAAGATCTGTCTTGTGTGTCCTCTGTTTGAGTTTGTTGCTGCTGGTGTGTGCTGCACTTTTCTTTAATCTCATTATAGGGCATAATCCCTCTCCTATCACCAACCCTTTGAAGACCTATTCTTAATTGGTTGAATTTTATGGCTAAATATCTGAGGAATGTGGTTGTCAGTTTCAGCCAGCTCTCCTAAGTTACTTCTTGGGACATGCTTGGTAGATTCCAGTTACTGTTCTCTGCCTGTTGTAATGTTTCTCTTCTCTGTTTATTAGTGTTAGTCCTCTCTGTTTATTAGTGTTACTCTTCTCTGTTTAATAGTACTAGTCTTCTCTGGGTTTTTTTTAGTGTTACTCTTCTCTGTTTATTAGTGTTACTCTTTTTTGTTTATTAGTGTTAGTCTTCTCTGTTTATTAGTGTTAATCTTCTCTGTTTATTAGTGTTGGTCTTCCCTGTTTTTTTTTTTTTTTAGTGTTACTCCTCTCTGTTTATTAGTGTTAGTCTTCTTTGTTTATTAGTGTTATTCTTCTCTGTATATTAATGTTATTCATCTCTGTTTATTAGTGTTATTCTTCTCTGCCTATAAGTGTCACTCTTCTCTGTTTATTAGTGTCACTCTTCTCTGCTTACTAAAGTGTTAGACTCCTCTGCATATCTGTGTTACTCTTCTCTGCTTATTACATTGTTAGTTTTCTCTGTTTATAAATGTTACTTTTTTGTTTAGTTTGTCTTACTCTTCTCTGTTTATTAATGTTACTCTTATCTGCTTAATTATGTTACTCTGCTTATTACAATGTTACTCTTCTCTGCTTATTAGTTTTAATCTTCTGATTATTGGTGTTGGACTTATCTCTTTTTAAGTGTTAATCAAGACACAAACTGTGGAGAGGAATGGATACACATACCAAACGAATACAACCACTACTTTGTGGTGATTATCACTAGGACAAAACAGTGCCATGATTTGGCACTACCAATAGTTGATGCAAAAGTGGAAGCATTGGTGGAGGAACACACATCATCAGAAGATGCTGTTATATGTACAGGTGGTTCTGTGATTCCTCAGAAGTGAAGTGCCTAGGCTTTCACAGCAAGAACTAACAGAAATGTCATTAAAGAAGACAGTGGAGGTCATGGCTGTGATAAAAGCCCCTAGAATGGCTGAAGACTCAGGAATTCACTAGTGCATCCTTTCTCAGAGAGTCAGTGAGCATGCTACAGAAGATCAAGGCGGGACATTAACGGAAACAGTGGCTTCATCTGATACAGCACAAAGCGTTTCGCAAAATTACTTTCATTTTTGTCTCAGAGTATATTGGCATGTAAGGCAATGTGAGAGCAGATGCCCTGGCTGGCAGTGCGACTTTCAGGAATGGGCTATCTATGGAAAGGAGAGATATCATCAGTGCCATACGAGAAACTAAATGCTGTCAGGCTTTCATTGTCATGGAAAATGATTTTTTACTGAATAGACTGCATACCTTCGGTGTACAAATTAGAGCCACCCCTAGTTACATCAGCCAGAACAGAATGGGAGTTGGCCTAAAATCACTTAAAGACATACTCAGGAGGAGGTTGGAGCACCTATGGTCATGTGTGATGATGATGATCTTTAAATGAACGATATTGTTAGTCGTCTTTGCTCAACAGTGTTGTCTTTTCTGCTTATTACAGTGTTATTATTCTCTACTTCCCATATATGTCCTGTAACACATGAGTGACAATGTCTACCCTGAATGTTGAATTAAGAATCGACATCACAGCCTCGGGACACTTCCATAAGTGCTCAGTCCCCATCTTCAGCAGCAAGAGTTCCAATTCCGATGGTACCAGCAACTGTCTTATTATATATCCGTCTCATCCTTTCCCTGAGTATTTATTGAGCGTTGGCCAGATCCCCTTAGACCGTAATGATCTATCTGCACCCCTGCACTGTTCACCCGTTCCTAGAGGGCTGTTTACACTAAATGAGGCTCCGAAACACATACACGGACCTGTGGGATCAAACCTGGTGCAGTGAAGTCAATCCCCTCACTCTTCACTCTTTTTCTTTACATGTTTTATTGTGTTCATTATTCCATGCTGTAGCTCATGTGTTTGTGTGTTCACAGGCACGCGCTTACGCATCAGAAACTGGTGAGCTCACAGAGGCGATGATAGATGACATAGTCAAAGACGCAGTAGAACAGCACAAGAAGAAAGTAGAATGGCAACAAGGGGCGTCAGTCTCTGATGTCTTCTACAGGTCCAGTAGAGTTATGCCCATTGGCCTGCCACCTATTCCAGCCATTATGGAGTCCCCAGCCAAGACCACAGTGCAGACAGAGGCCTCTGCCCCATCACAGCCAACAGGTGGAGGTCACAGTACATGATGATTGTACTGCTTAGTCGATGGTGTTCACTTGGTTCTTGTTTGCAGTTTAATGATGTTAGAGATGACTGTTGTTAGGGATGACTGCTGTTCTAATAATTATTAAGATGCTGTGCTAGTTAGTAGTCTGTAGGGAATGTATACAGAAGAGTTGGGGTATTGAATGGTGACCTGCAAAAATATAAATGGAATGGCCTGTGGATTTACTTGTAATAATAAACCTGTAATTCTAAGTCTAAAATGGGAGTCGCCGTGGCATAGCGGCTAGACGCTCGTGTGCGGATTGGAAGGTCTTGGGTTTGCTGCCTGGCAGGGCCGGATTTTTTCCCCTTCAAAAATGACCTTGACTCCCAGGTCGACCCAGCCTTGAGTGGGTACCGGGTGCAAAAACGGCTGGCGTGATGCTGACCACATCACTCATCTTGTGCCGATTGGTCAAGCCCTATACGTCAAAAGGAATGGAAATGGGGACCTTTACTTTTTCTTTCTCACTTTATAGGTCTAAAATAAAGGCTGATAAAAGTAAGCAGTATCAGTCAAGAACTTGTGTTGAGTTGTTGTCATGGCCATAGGTCAGTACTGGAGAAGTACATGATAGGGTGTGAAATACACAACCAACCTTCCCCCCTTAGTGAAACTATGAGAAATTTTAAAATTGGAAATTGGCATTTAAGGAACATAACACTGAGAATGAAGGACCCTTTCCCAAGCCTTCAGTTGTATGATGCATATAGCGGTAGACCTATATTTTATAGACCAACTGGCACTCGATGGGTGATGTGGGGTATCACTTTGGCTACCTTTACTTCCCAGAACTTTACCTGGTCTCCATTTAAGACTGAGTCGACCTGGGAGATAAGGCCATTTTTGGAGAGATAGAAAGAAAATCGGCTGCATTCAGGTTTGAGCCCACAGCCTTTAGAACTGCAGACAAGCGTTGAGCCCCTACACCACCACGGCTGCTCCCCAATGACGTAGAGTATACCTACCATCTTTTCTCATATTTTGTAAATATTGAAAGGGTCAGCACCATGAGAATGAACCGGGTCAGCTTGTGCTCTGACTGACTCTCCTCCTGAGAGATTAAAGTTGATTGTTGCGGAATACATGAGACCGACAGAGCATTCCATCTCCAGCCAAGCTGTACCCCCCCCCCCCCCCCCCCTCTTTCCTTCCCCTTTCCACACACACACTGATTGTTGTTCTGCATGTGCAGTCTTGTGCCAAACTATTTAACATTATTGGTCAAGATTGAGAATTCTTTCAGCTCGTCATAATTCATCATCATCATCAAAACTTCAGCTCGCTAGTAGAATATTTCATTGGGTTGCTTGATAATATGGATGTGATACTGTTGTTGGGAAAATGATACTGCTGTTTGAATGTGTGGTGAAAATGAGTCTATTGTTGGAATGTGTGGGGAAAATTGTCAGTTTTAGAATTTGGTGCCTGTTGAGTACAGATGTGCCAGTTTTTTTTAACACCATCTAAAATGGTAAAGGTAGTATCTGTGGGTTTGAAATTTTTTTTTACCAATTTGTGGTATTTGCAACATTGAGCGTCTTCTTTGTATGGAGTTGAGTGAAAATGTCATTGTTTCAGGATGTTATGTTGACAAGTTTGAGTAAAACTGGTTTCAGTGTTTGATACATATGGAGCTAAAACTGTTAGTCAGTGATCACCCTCAGTGTTTGTGTGTGTGAAAAACTGATGAAATAAAATAGTCAGGTGTTTTTAATTTATATTTTATACATACATTTTTAGGATAAATGCCCATATATAATGCCCAGTATAATGATTTTATATTGTTAAATGTTTGAAAAAGAGAAACAAAAAGAAAGTAAAGGACTGTTTGACTACTGAGGTGCATTGATCTGGTACGATGCTAGGTCAGTATTTTTAATAGACAACACTTGGGGAATGACGTGGCCAACTTTACGCCAGCAACTTCTATTTGCTAGGGCATTGCTTGATACCACTTTTAAGCCTCGGAGCCCAGGACAATAATAAATCCACCTCATTTACGATTTGAACCCATAACTACAAGGTTTGCAGGTAAGCAGACTGCTGCACCCTCACTCCTATGTGTAACTAATTCCATTCATTGTCATGCTGTGCCATTATAGGTCACATAAAGCTCGCAATCTGTTTCTCCAATCCGTGCTATCGTGTGCAGTCACTTCTGTAACATGGATGGAATCCAGTCCAGCAGGTTTGGCTTCTCTCATCCACGTCCACCTTAGGGTTTCTCTTAGACGTCATTTCCTCAGTCCCTCTATTTCCCATTTTACTGCCTCTTTAGTGATTCTCTGTTCGTCTCTTCTCAGAATGTGTCAAGTGTAGCGCCATCTTCTCATTTCTAACTAACACAAAGGCCTTTTTGTTTTCTACATTGGCGAAGTACACTTGCCTTCTAGCTGAAAGATCTTGGGTTCGAATCTGCAGCCAGTCGGATTTAAAAAAAATGTACCTAGAGATCCCACACTGACCCCACCTAGAAACAGAGAAAAGCTACCTATTCTACTACCTGGTTAGGAAGAAACTAGTGGCAGTCCACCTGGACTTTCCCCAAGGCCCACAGGTTAAAGAACACTGTACTAGATGACTGACCTCCACCACAGATATTGGGAACATGTCTTGTGCGGTAGAGGCAGCTGGTGTGTCGACCACACCACCCATTGTAGGCTAGTTGGTCCGGACAGGTATGGATCTGATGTGTCAGTGGCCCTTGACATCTTTTTTCTTCACATTCAGCGGCTTCAAACTCTGGCGGAAAGTTCTGGTTGTTCGTCCACTTCAGTTCGAGAACCTGAGTTTTTACAGATCTGTATGCATGCTGTTGGTTCCTTGCCTCTCAGGCAGATGCACTCCGACTTCGAAGGAAGCTCCTATTAGTGGACTCCTACAGCATGCTTTTTGGTAGATTTGTTTTATAAAGTTTGTTAGTTACAAAAACCGTAACCTGATGAGGGGGATGTTTGCAGTTGCAGTAAATGTTTTTCACATAACCAGAGCAGTAGATGTGTCAGTGTTGTGAAAATACAATCTTGTTTTGAGTTTCTTCACAAATGTGTGTTTTTAAACTTTCACTATTTAGCGCTGATTTCATGTGCCATGGCGGGAAGTGTAAATAATTGCCTTTACATGTCAGACTCTGGTCTGAATGAATTTTTGTTGTGAAATTGTTCTTTTATCTCCTATGGGTGTGGAGTCTACCCTGAATGAACTCATGCCATGTGCTTTGTTCATCAGTTACAGTTTTCAACAGTAAAGCATAGACAGTCTGACACTGATCCTCTTTAACTGCTTTTTATGATAGGCATGGTATCTTTCAGTGTTGCTTCTCCAGGGCACACAGGAGTGTGGGGAAATACACAGGCAGATAGATTGGCTGGTTCTGCACTGATAAATGGTGAATTAAATCATGATTAACTATATGTGGTCAACGCCCTTTAGGAAAAAGTGAACAATGTGGAGATGTTATGGTCTGAAAAGAATGGTACAGGTATAAATGAAAAACCTTATTTTCAAAGGGTCGCAAATTTGGCATGCAGGCATTTCTAAACACTTATCTTTCAGACAGCAGTTGTGTTGCATCACTAAAATATGTTTATATAACAATACTCATATGAATAGCAAGAGAAAAATCAAAAGCATGGATGATAAATGCATGCATGCACTCACTAACTCATTCACACGCACACACACGTTAAAAGTCTGACTCCTTCCGGTCTGCAGGCGAATGTCTAGCCGCTATACCAGTGTTAGGAGTGACGCGGGGATCTGATCCACACTCTGCACTAAAAGGAAAAGCAAGACATCATATAATCAAACTACTGCTGAAGATGAGAGCAGAGCACTTACGGGAATAACCAGAGTGCTGTGATGTCAATTTTTAACTCAACACTCATTCTTTGCTTCCATTATGGCATAGTGAGAACAGGGACAGCTGCTATTGGTTGGCACCCATTCCAGATGATAGTGTTTCAGTGTGCTAAATGGAGGCTGTGGAATCACATCTTGTGGCAGTGACAAGTCCTTCCACAAGTCTCAATAATCTGCTGTTTACAGTGTGCCCAGAATTCAAAATATGGCATGCGGTGGCTGATAAGGAATTTTTCAACCAGTCACTTGATTCGTTCTTGGTGTTTTGCATTACTTTTACAACCTATAGTGGAATATGTTCAGGGACTTGTTTTTCCAGTCATCGATCAGTTCTGCCCACATATTCAGCATTACAGATGCATTTAAATGTGTAAATACAGTTGGATTTGGCGTACATCAACACTGGTTCTTTCACTTGGGGGCGTGGGAATTACGGTAGTTCTAAATCTGATAACAAGCGTGGCTGTGGAAAAGTTTCACTGACTGCTGTTCTGAGCCGCTCATATAAACGTTGTTTGGCAAGGACTGACGTCTGGACTGTGATAAACATGATGTCTGGTTTGGTCGCTTGATCACTTCAAATTGATCATTAATATTGAAATGATTCACTTATTCTAATCTGTGCCCTTAAACATACTTTGGTGTAGTTATGATAGCTGTATTAGACCAAACCATTTTTCGATTATATTGTAATGTCTGATTAATGGGAACAGTCTGGGGCATTTTTCATCTAAACAACCTGTAACGACAGTGATTCGTTTCAAGAGCGCTATAATGAAAAGATCAGTATGAATGTCTTTTCTTCTTCTTCTGCGTGAAGTCTAAAAATTGATGTTTGTTCCTTCCTGTTGAGTTTGTTAGTATGAATGTCAAGAACCTTAGTTTACTGCTGGGCAGGCATGTGGTGGGTTTGTGACAGAAATGTCTATCGCTACAACACACTTAACCTAACACCACCTGAGCATACATATATACATATCAGTTTTAAAATACTTCATAAATAACTAACATAACATGTAGACAAGTTACTCCTGAAGGGGTTCACCGACCCTTCCACAATCACCACTCACTCCTAGTTATTTTAGGTATTACCTGGGCCGGAACCAACAAACTTAC